CACAGAGACCCATAGACTCACACAGAGACTCACATAGAGACCCATAGACTCACATAGAGACCCATAGACTCACACAGAGACCCATAGACTCACACAGAGACCCATAGACTCACACAGAGATCCATAGACTCACACAGAGACCCATAGACTCACACAGAGACTCACACAGAGACTCACACAGCGACCCATAGACTCACACAGAGACCCATAGACTCACACAGACCCATAGACTCAGACAGACCCATAGACTCCCACATACCTATAGACTCACAAATAGACTCACACAGACAAAGACTCACACAGACATAGACTCACACAGAAACCCATAGACTCACACAGAGACCCATAGACTCACACAGACCCATAGACTCATACAGATATCCATAGACTCACACAGAGACTCACACAGAGACCCATAGACTCACACAGAGACCCATAGACTCACACAGAGACCCATAGACTCACACAGAGACTCACACAGAGACCCATAGACTCACATAGAGACCCATAGACTCACACAGAGACCCATAGACTCACACAGAGACCCATAGACTCACACAGAGATCCATAGACTCACACAGAGACCCATAGACTCACACAGAGACTCACATAGAGACCCATAGACTCACACAGAGACCCATAGACTCACACAGAGACTCACACAGAGACTCACACAGCGACCCATAGACTCACACAGAGACCCATAGACTCACACAGAGACCCATAGACTCACACAGATACTCACACAGCGACCCATAGACTCACACAGAGACCATAGACTCACACAGAGACCCATAGACTCACACAGAGACCCTTAGACTCACACAGAGACTCACACAGAGACCCATAGACTCACACAGAGACTCACACAGAGACCCATAGACTCACACAGAGACCCATAGACTCACAGAGGGTTTACTTACATAGGGAGAGTGGTGGCGCAGTGGTTAGCGCACTGCGCTGGAAACCCCAAAGCCACCTCCGTTCCATCACCGGTCACGGCCACCATCAGTGGCACTTTACCACGCCCCCATTACAACTTTCCCACCGACCAGAGTGGTGAAGTATGGTCGAAGACCTCCCTCCTACCCCCCCCCCCCCCCAAATACTCCAACCTACGCCACGGCGTGCAGAGAGGAGGGGGTAGAGAGAGAGGGGGTAGAGAGAGAGGGGGTAGAGAGAGAGGAGGTAGAGAGAGAGGGGGTAGAGAGAGGGGGTAGAGAGAGAGGGGTAGAGAGAGAGGGGGTAGAGAGAGAGGAGGTAGAGAGAGAGGGGGGTAGAGAGAGGGGGGGGGTAGAGAGAGAGGGAGGGTAGAGAGAGAGGGGGTAGAGAGAGAGAGGGGGTAGAGAGAGGGAGGGGGTAGAGAGAGGGAGGGGGTAGAGAGAGAGGGGGTAGAGAGAGAGGGGGTAGAGAGAGAGGGGGGTAGAGAGAGAGAGAGGGGGTAGAGAGAGAGGGGGTAGAGAGAGGGGGTAGAGAGAGAGAGAGGGTAGAGAGAGAGGGGGTAGAGACAGAGGGGGTAGAGAGAGAGGGGGTAGAGAGAGAGAGGGTAGAGAGAGAGGGGGTAGAGAGAGAGGGGGTAGAGAGAGAGGGGGTAGAGAGAGAGGGGGTAGAGAGAGAGAGGGGGTAGAGAGAGAGGGGGTAGAGACAGAGAGGGGTAGAGAGAGAGGGGGTAGAGAGAGAGGGGGGTAGAGAGAGAGAGGGGGTAGAGAGAGAGGGGGTAGAGAGAGAGGGGGTAGAGAGAGAGAGGGGGTAGAGAGAGAGAGGGGGTAGAGAGAGAGGGGGTAGAGATAGAGGGGGGGTAGAGAGAGAGGGGGGTAGAGAGAGAGAGGGGGGTAGAGAGAGAGAGGGGGTAGAGAGAGAGGGGGGTAGAGAGAGAGAGGGGGTAGAGAGAGAGAGAGGGGGTAGACAGAGAGAGGGGGTAGAGACAGAGAGGGGATAGAGAGAGAGAGAGGGGGTAGAGAGAGAGAGGGGGTAGAGAGAGAGGGGGTAGAGAGAGAGAGGGTGTAAAAAGAGAGGGGGTAGAGAGAGAGAGAGGGGGTAGAGAGAGAGGGGGTAGAGAGTGAGGGGGTAGAGAGAGAGAGGGGGTAGAGAGAGAGAGAGGGGGTAGAGAGAGAGAGAGGGGGTAGAGAGAGAGAGGGGGTAGAGAGAGAGGGGGTAGAGAGAGAGGGGGTAGAGAGAGAGGGGGTAGACAGAGAGAGGGGGTAGAGACAGAGAGGGGATAGAGAGAGAGAGAGGGGGTAGAGAGAGAGAGGGGGTAGAGAGAGAGGGGGTAGAGAGAGAGAGGGTGTAAAAAGAGAGTGGGTAGAGAGAGAGGGGGTAGAGAGAGAGAGGGGGTAGAGAGAGAGGGGGTAGAGAGAGAGAGGGGGTAGAGAGAGAGAGAGGGGGTAGAGAGAGAGAGAGGGGGTAGAGAGAGAGAGGGGGTAGAGAGAGAGGGGGTAGAGAGAGAGGGGGTAGAGAGAGAGAGGGGGTAGACAGAGAGAGGGGGTAGAGACAGAGAGGGGATAGAGAGAGAGGGGGTAGAGAGAGAGGGGGTAGACAGAGAGAGGGGGTAGAGACAGAGAGGGGATAGAGAGAGAGGGGGTAGAGAGAGAGGGGGTAGACAGAGAGAGTGGGAATGGGTAAGGAGAGCGGAGCGTGAAATCTTTCGTTGAAATCTTTCCTTTAAAAAATGGGGGATGGGGGTGGAGTGTTTACATGAAGCAAAGCGAAATGACGAACGGAGCAAAGTGGCGACTACACACCGAGAGCATCTTCCCGTTCCCTCGGATCGTTAAAAAAAGGAGAGAGAGGAGCGAGAGAGAGGAGAGAGAAGAGAGAGAGAGGAGAGAGACGAACGCGATGCCTCCATCCAGCAGCGGAGTCTTCGCGAATTCTACTTTACTATTTTATCTCGAGTGGGGGGACCCCCCCCCGCCGCCCCTAGTTCAGAGAGGGACCCCCCCCCCTCCTCCTCCTAGGTTGACTCAGCCTCGAAGGATTACCCCGGTTCGAATGTGTCGAGTTCATTTAAACGCTGGGGGAGAGACAAAGGCGGCCGGGCGTGGTGGTGCTGACCAACCCACCACCCCCTCTGTGTGTGCCACAGTGCCGGTAGCCTTCATAGGTAGCGTTGCTGCTGACAGCACTTGCCCCTACAGCCTGCTAGAGGCTACACGGGGGACCTTTGTCTGTGTCTACCTTCATAGGCACTGCTGCTGCTACTCGCTACCAACAGCACTTGCCCCTACAGCCTGCTAGAGGCTACACGGGGGACCTTTGTCTGTGTCTACCTTCATAGACGCTGCTGCTGCTACTCGCTACCAACAGCACTTGCCCCTACAGCCTGATAGAGGCTACACGGGGGACCTTTGTCTGTGTGTATGTTAGAGTGCATGTGTCTGTCCCGTGACCTCCTCCTCCTGCACCTAGCCTGGCACAGCAGCAGTCAACCCATGGCACCTGCTTGGTCTGTCACGTGACCTCCTCCTGCCAACAGCGGAGAGCCTTCCGCACTTCTTCAAGTGACGGCCTCGAGGTGCACCTAGCCTGGCACAGGCGCCGTGGTGACGTCACTGCCACTTCGTGGCCAATCGAAAGCCGTCGCGTCTGTGAGAGGAATGTTAGCAACTGGTTGCCTCGGCTGATCGCAACCGGTTGCAGGGACGACAAAACCCGCGCAACGCGCGATAATTCCGTCGCAGGATATAGCGAGTACGCACGCAATCTGAGTTGCTCACAACCGTGCAACCGATTGCCCGTTGCAACCGAGTCGCCCGTGCAACCGATTGCCCACGCAACCGATTGCCCGTGCAACCGATTGCCCGCGCAACCGATTGCCCGCGCAACCGATTGCCCGCGCGACCGATTGCCCGTGCAACCGATTGCCCGCGCGACCGATTGCCCGTGCAACCGATTGCCCGCGCGACCGATTGCCCGCGCAACCGATTGCCCGTGCGACCGATTGCCCGCGCAACCGATTGCCCGCGCGACCGATTGCCCGCGCAACCGATTGCCCGTGCGACCGATTGCCCGCGCAACCGATTGCCCGTGCGACCGATTGCCCGCGCGACCGATTGCCCGTGTGACCGATTGCCCGTGCGACCGATTGCCCGTGCGACCGATTGCCCGTGCGACCGATTGCCCGTGCGACCGATTGCCCGTGCGACCGATTGCCCGTGCGACCGATTGCCCGCGCGACCGATTGCCCGTGTGACCGATTGCCCGTGCGACCGATTGCCCGTGCGACCGATTGCCCGTGCGACCGATTGCCCGTGCGACCGATTGCCCGTGCGACCGATTGCCCGCGCAACCGATTGCCCGCGCGACCGATTGCCCGCGCAACCGATTGCCCGTGCGACCGATTGCCCGCGCAACCGATTGCCCGCGCGACCGATTGCCCGCGCAACCGATTGCCCGTGCGACCGATTGCCCGTGCGACCGATTGCCCGTGTGACCGATTGCCCGTGCGACCGATTGCCCGTGCGACCGATTGCCCGTGCGACCGATTGCCCGTGCGACCGATTGCCCGCGCAACCGATTGCCCGCGCAACCGATTGCCCGTGCGACCGATTGCCCGCGCAACCGATTGCCCGCGCGACCGATTGCCCGTGCAACCGAGGGGGCACGTTGAACGCAACTTGCTTCCGACGCAACCACGGGATTGTAAGGGTGGTGGGTGGGTGGTGGGTGGGTGGGTGGTGGTGGGGGGGGAGTGGGGGGATCATCAGCCCCCCCCCTGTCCCCCCAGGCTCCCCCCCCTGCCCCCCACAATAGTCGCAGGCAACTCAACAAACAGCGGCAACTTTGGGACGCCGTCGGAGATTTTGTCGTCTTCGAATCTCGTGGAGATCTTCAATCGTTGGAGTGGTGGGGGTGGGGGGTGGGGGGGTCCCCGCCCCTGCCCTTGACCACGCCCCCCTCTGCCCTCGACCACGCCCCCCTCTGCCCTCGACCACGCCCCCCTCTGCCCTCGACCACGCCCCCCAGAAAGTCACTCTCCGGTGGTGGCCAGGCGTGGCGGCTCACAGCACCCACTGCTGATTGGCTACCGCGGGGTCACATGGGCGCAGCGAGAGCGCCGGTTGGCTGGAGGCTGCGCGGGCTTCCAGGCAGGACCGCGTGACCGCGTGGAGCAGCAGGGACGGTGGCGACTTCCGTTGCTGTCGGGGGTGGGGGAAGGGCCACAACAACAACAATCACGTCAACAACCACGACAACAACAACAACCACTACTACCACGTCAACAACCACGACAACAACAACAACAACCACTACTACCACGTCAACAACCACGACAACAACAACAACCACTACTACCACGTCAACAACCACGACAACAACAACCACTTCCACAACCACAGCCACGACAACAACAACAACAAAAACCACTACTACTACAACCACTACCACATCAACAACCACTACCACAACCACGTCAACAACCACGACAACAACAACCACTTCCACAACCACAGCCACGACAACAACAACAACCACTACTACTACAACCACTACCACATCAACAACCACTACCACAACCACGTCAACAACCACGACAACAACAACAACCACCACAACAACCACTACCACAACCACGTCAACAACCACGACAACAACAACAACCACTACTACCACCGCGACAACCACTACCACAACCACGTCAACAACTACAGTCACGGAAACAACCACAACCACTACTACTACAACCACTACCACAACCACATCAACAACCACAACTACTACAACCACATCAACAACCACTACTACTACAACCACCACGACAACAACAACAACAACCACCACTACAATCACTACTACAACTGACTGATATTGCTCTAGGGTTTGGTGGTACATGTTGTTTATGTAGTTTATTGTAAAAAATTCTCACCGGTAGTAAGTGCACCATCTCCCCTATCTCACCAGCAGTAAGTGCACCATCTCCCCTATCTCACCGGCAGTAAGTGCACCATCTCCCCCGTCTCACCGGCAGTAAGTGCACCATCTCCCCTATCTCACCGCCAGTAAGTGCACCATCTCCCCTATCTCACCAGGTAATAAGTGCACCATCTCCCCTATCTCACCGGCAGTAAGTGCACCATCTCCCCTATCTCACCGCCAGTAAGGGCACCATCTCCCCTATCTCACCGGCAGTAAGTGCACTATCTCCCCTATCTCACCGGCAGTAAGTGCACCATCTCCCCTGTCTCACCGGCAGTAAGTGCACCATCTCCCCTATCTCACCGCCAGTAAGTGCACCATCTCCCCTGTCTCACCGGCAGTAAGTGCACCATCTCCCCTGTCTCACCGTTAGTAAGTGCACCATCTCCCCTATCTCACCGCTAGTAAGTGCACCATCTCCCCTATCTTACCGGTAGTTAGTGCACCATTTCACCGGTAGTAAGTGCACCATCTCCCCTGTCTCACCGGCAGTAAGTGCACCATCTCCCCTATCTCACCGGCAGTAAGTGCACCATCTCACTATCTCACCGGTAGTAAGTGCACCATCTCCCCTATCTCACCGGCAGTAAGTGCACCATCTCCCCTATCTCACCGGCAGTAAGTGCACCATCTCCCCTGTCTCACCGGCAGTAAGTGCACCATCTCCCCTGTCTTACCGGCAGTAAGTGCACCATCTCCCCTATCTCACCGGTAGTAAGTGCACCATCTCCCCCGTCTCACCAGTAGTAAGTGCACCATCTCCCCTATCTCACCGGTAGTTAGTGCACCATTTCAACTGGTAGTAAGTGCACCATCTCCCCCGTTTCACCGGTAGTAAGTGCACCATCTCCCCTATCTCACCGGCAGTAAGGGCACCATCTCCCCTATCTCACCGGCAGTAAGTGCACCATCTCCCCTATCTCACCGGCAGTAAGTGCACCATCTCCCCTATCTCACCGGCAGTAAGTGCACCATCTCCCCTATCTCACTGGCAGTAAGTGCACCAACTCCCCTATCTCATCGGCAGTAAGGGCACCATCTCCCCTATCTCACCGGCAGTAAGTGCACCATCTCCCCCATCTCACTGGCAGTAAGTGCACCATCTCCCCTATCTCACCGGCAGTAAGTGCACCATCTCCCCTATCTCACCGGCAGTAAGTGCACCATCTCCCCTATCTCACCGTTAGTAAGTGCACCATCTCCCCTATCTCACTGTTAGTAAGTGCACCATCTCCCCTATCTCACCGGCAGTAAGTGCACCATCTCCCCCATCTCACCGGCAGTAAGTGCACCATCTCCCCTATATCACCGGTAGTAAGTGCACCATCTCCCCTATCTCACCGGTAGTAAGTGCACCATCTCCCCTGTCTCACCGGTAGTAAGTGCACCATCTCCCCCATCTCACCGGCAGTAAGGGCACCATCTCCCCTATCTCACCGGCAGTAAGGGCACCATCTCCCCTATCTCACCGGCAGTAAGGGCACCATCTCCCCTATCTCACCGGCAGTAAGTGCACCATCTCCCCTATCTCACCGGCAGTAAGGGCACCATCTCCCCTATCTCACCGGCAGTAAGGGCACCATCTCCCAATGCTGGTTGCCCCTCTCCCCGTGGCAGGGCAGGAGGCGAGCGTCTCTCCCCGCCGCCACGGCGTCCATGCAGGCCCCCCCCACTCGCAGCTCCCCGCGCCACGACAGCGTCAAGTTCTAGTGGGGGGGAAGGGCAGTTGGGGGAGGGGTGGTGACGTTACGACGACGTTATGACGTCGTCATGACGACGTTAAACCGATGACGTACATACGCATGTGTCATCGCGATGGCAACGGGGTTCATGAATTATCCGAAGGAACGCACGCGAACTCTACGAGCGAAGTCTGACGTAAAGTTCGCCATCGTGCAGGTGAAGAATACAGGGGACTCCTCTACTTACGAACGAGTTAGGTTCCAGAGGTACCCTGTTCGTAAGTCGATTTGTTTATAAGTCCCAACTTTAATCCCGTCGATTCCAAACACATTGCACGGCGGTGTATAATCTCATGTAGATACCACTGGTTCTTCACGTTCTGCAGATGTAGATACCACTGGATCTTCACGTTCTGCAGATGTAGATGCCACTGGTTCTTCATGCTCTGTATATGTAGATGCCACTGGTTCTTCACGTTCTGTAGATGTAGATGCCACTGGATCTTCACGTTCTGCAGATGTAGATGCCACTGGTTCTTCATGCTCTGTATATGTAGATACCACTGGTTCTTCACGTTCTGCAGATGTAGATGCCACTGGTTCTTCACGTTCTGCAGATGAAGATGCCACTGGTTCTTCACGTTCTGCAGATGAAGATGCCACTGGTTCTTCACGTTCTGCAGATGTAGATGCCACTGGTTCTTCACGTTCTGTAGATGTAGATGCCACTGGTTCTTCACGTTCTGCTGATGTAGATGTCACTGGATCTTCACGTTCTGTAGATGTAGATTCCACTGGTTCTTCATGTTCTGTATATGTAGATGCCACTGGTTCTTCACGTTCTGTAGCTGTAGATGCCACTGGTTCTTCACGTTCTGCAGATGTAGATGCTACTGGTTCTTCACGTTCTACAGATGTAGATGCCACTGGTTCTTCACCTTCTGCAGATGTAGATGCCACTGGTTCTTCACTTTCTACAGATGTAGATTCCACTGGTTCTTCAAGTTCTGCAGATGTAGATGCCACTGGTTCTTCACGTTCTGCAGATGTAGATGCCACTGGTTCTTCACGTTCTGCAGATGTAGATGCCACTGGCTCTTCACGTTCTGCAGATGTAGATGCCACTGGTTCTTCATGCTCTGTATATGTAGATACCACTGGTTCTTCACGTTCTGCAGATGTAAATGCCGCTGGTTCTTCACGTTCTGCAGATGTAGATGCCACTGGTTCTTCACGTTCTACAGATGTAGATGCCACTGGTTCTTCACGTTCTGCAAATGTAGATGCCACTGGTTCTTCACGTTCTGCAGATGTAGATGCCACTGGTTCTTCACCTTCTGCAGATGTAGATGCCACTAGTTCTTCACGTTCTGCAGATGTAGATGCCACTGGTTCTTCACGTTCTGCAGATGTAGATGCTACTGGTTCTTTACGTTCTGCAGATGTAGATGCCACTGGTTCTTCACGTTCTGCAGATGTATATGCCACTGGCTCTTCACGTTCTGCAGATGTAGATGCGACAGGTTTTTCATGTTCTGCAGATGTAGATGACACTGGTTCTTCATGTTCTGCAGATGTAGATGCCACTGGTTCTTCACGTTCTGCAGATGTAGATGCCACTGGTTCTTCACGTTCTGCAGATGTAAATGCCGCTGGTTTTTCACGTTCTGCAGATGTAGATGCCACTGGTTCTTCACGTTCTACAGATGTAGATGCCACTGGTTCTTCACGTTCTGCAGATGTAGATGCCACTGGTTCTTCACGTTCTGCAGATGTAGATGTCACTGGTTCTTCACCTTCTGCAGATGTAGATGCCACTAGTTCTTCACGTTCTGTAGATGTAGATGCTACTGGTTCTTCATGTTCTGTAGATGTAGATGCCACGGGTTCTTCACGTTCTACAGATGTAGATGCCACTGGTTCTTCACGTTCTGCAGATGTAGATGCCACTGGTTCTTCACGTTCTGCAGATGTAGATGCCACTGGTTCTTCACGTTCTACAGATGTAGATGCCACTGGTTCTTCACATTCTGCAGATGTATATGACACTGGTTCTTCACGTTCTGCAGATGTAGATGCCACTGGTTCTTCACGTTCTGCAGATGTAGATGCCACTGGTTCTTCACGTTCTGCAGATGTATATGCCACTGGTTCTTCACGTTCTGCAGATGTAGATGCCACAGGTTTTTCATGTTCTGTAGATGTAGATGACACTGGTTCTTCATGTTCTGCAGATGTAGATGCCACTGGTTCTTCACGTTCTGCAGATGTAGATTCCGCTGGTTCTTCACGTTCTGCAGATGTAGATGCCACTGGTTCTTCACGTTCTGCAGATGTAGATGCCAGTGGTTCTTCACGTTCTGCAGATGTAGATGCCACTGGTTCTTCACGTTCTGCAGATGTAGATGCCACTTGTTCTTCACGTTCTGCAGATGTAGATGCCACTGGTTCTTCACGTTCTGCAGATGTAGATGCCGCTGGTTCTTCACGTTCTGCTGATGTAGATGCCACTGATTCTTCACGTTCTACAGATGTAGATGCCGCTGGTTCTTCACGTTCTGCAGATGTAGATTCCACTGGTTATTCACGTTCTGTAGATGTAGATGCCGCTGGTTCTTAACGTTCTGCAGATGTAGATGCCACTGGTTCTTCACGTTCTGTAGATGTAGATGCCACTGGTTCCTCACGTTCTGCTTATGTAGATGCCAGTGGTTCTTCACGTTCTGCAGTATTTGACCAAATATAACGGGCAAATTTTTCAGTTGATGGCCCGCGAATGATGTTATATAAATATCCAAATGGCCCTTGGCAGAAACAAAGATGTCCACACCCCTGTCCTACATATGTAAAGGGGTGATTCTTTTTGCTTAGTACTTTGGCAGTGGCTCACCCCGAGCCATTTTTGCGTTCTCTGGTCTGGCACCGGTGGTGTTGGTGGGGGGTGGGTGTTGGTGGTGGTGTGGTGTGGATGGTGTGGTTGGTGGTGTGTTTGGTGTTGGTGGTGTGGTTGTTGGTGTTGGTTGGTGGTGGTGTGGTTGTTGTTGTTGGTGGTGTGGTTGGTGGTGGTGTGGTTGTTGTTGTTGGTGGTGTGGTTGGTGGTGGTGTGGTTGGTGGTGGTGTGGTTGTTGTTGTTGGTGGTGTGGTTGGTGTTGTTGTTGGTGGTGTGGTTGTGGTTGATGTTGGTGGTGTGGTTGTGGTTGTTGGTGGTGGTGTGGTTGGTGGTGGTGTGGTTGTTGTTGTTGGTGGTGTGGTTGGTGTTGTTGTTGGTGGTGTGGTTGTGGTTGATGTTGGTGGTGTGGTTGTGGTTGTTGGTGGTGGTGTTGTTGTGGTGGTGGTGTGGTTGTTGTTGGTGTGGTTGATGTTGGTAGTGTGGTTGTTGGTGTGGTTGTTGGTGTGGTTGTGGTTGTTGTTGTTGGTGTGGTTGTTGGTTTGGTTGTTGGTGTGGTGTGGTTGTTGGTGGTGGTGTGGTTGTGGTTGGTGGTGTGGCTGTGGTTGTTGTTGTTGGTGGTGTGGTTGGTGTTGTTTTTGGTGGTGGTGTGGTTGTTGTTGGTGGTTGTGGTTGGTGTTGTTGTTGTTGGTGGGGTGGTTGATGTTGGTGGTGTGGTTGTGGTTGTTGTTGTTGGTGGTGGTGTGGTTGTTGGTGGTGTGGTTGTTGTTGTTGGTGTGGTTGTGGTTGTGGTTGGCCCACCTGACCAGGCAGCCCCAGCTTGCAGCGCCTCATCTCGAGGCTTCGTAGATCCGCCCTGGCCGAGAGGCACATCCTGAGAGCCAGGTTCCTTACCTGGGGTCCCAACAACAACAACAACGTCAACATCATCAACAACATCAACAACAACAACATCAACAACAACATCAACAACATCAACAACAACATCAACAACATTAACAACATCAACAACATCAACAACATCATCAACAACATCAACAACAACATCAACATCAACAACATCAACAACAACATCAACAACATCAACAACATCATCAACAACATCAACAACAACATCAACAACAACATCATCAACAACAACATCAACAACAACATCAACAACAACAACGACAACATCAACAACAACATCAACATCAACAACAACATCAACAACAACATCAACAACATCAACAACAACATCAACAACAACATCATCAACAACAACAACATCAACAACAATAACAACATCAACAATATCAACAACAACATCAACAACAACATCAATAATAACAACAACAGCGGCCACCACCACCACCACCACTCAGAGTCTGCCAGACCCCAAGGTGTTGCTGATTGTCGCGAGGCGCTCACAAACGATGGTTACTGCCACTACTAACTAACTACTACTAACTAACTACCACTAACTAACTACCACTAACTACCACTACTAACTAACTACTAACTACCACTACTAACTACCACTAACTAACTACTACCACTAACTACCACTACTAACTACTACTAACTAACTACTACTAACTAACTACCACTAACTAACTACCACTAACTAACTACCACTAACTAACTACTAACTAACTACCACTAACTAACTACCACTAACTACTACTAACTAACTACCACCAACTACCACTAACTACCACTAACTACCACTAACTAACTACTAACTACCACTACTAACTAACTAACTACCACTAACTACCACTACTAACTACCACTAACTAACTACTAACTACCACTTACTAACTAACTACTAACTACCACTACTAACTAACTACCACTAACTACCACTACTAACTACCACTACTAACTACCACTACTAACTACTAACTAACTACTAACTACTAACTAACTACCACTACTAACTACTAACTAACTACCACTACTAACTACCACTACTAACTACTAACTAACTACCACTACTAACTAACTACCACTAACTAACTACTAACTACCACTACTAACTAACTACCACTAACTACCACTACTAACTACCACTACTAACTACTAACTAACTACCACTACTAACTACTAACTACCACTATTAACTACTAACTAACTACCACTACTAACTACTAACTACCACTACTAACTACTAACTAACTACCACTACTAACTACTAACTACCACTAACTAACTACTAACTCCTCCCTCCCCGTCCCTTCTCCGTCTTCTTTCTCTTCACCTCTCGGGATTTGCCTGGGAGGTGAATGATGACGTACACGGACGTCATCAGCAAGCCCCGCCCCCCCCCCACCAAGCGGCCCCGCCCGCCCAGCGGCCCCGCCCACCCAACGGCCCCGCCCACCCAGCGACCCCGCCCACCTAGTGACCACGCCCACCCAGCGGCCCCGCCCACCTAGTGACCACGCCCACCCAGCGGCCACGCCCAACCAGCGACCCCGCCCACCCAGCGGCCCCGCTCACCCAGCGGCCCCGCCCACCCAGCGGCCCTGCCCACCTAGTGACCCCGCCCACCTACTGACCACGCCCAACCAGCGACCCCGCCCACCCAGCGACCCCGCCCGCCCAGGGGCCACGCCCACCCAGCGACCACGCCCACCTAGTGACCACGCCCAACCAGCGACCCCGCCCACCCAGCGACCCCGCCCAACCAGCGGCCCCGCCCACCCAGCGACCCCGCCCGCCCAGCGGCCCCGCCCACCCAGCGGCCCCGCCCACCCAGCGACCCCACCCGCCCAGCGGCCCCGCCCACCCAGTGACCACGCCCACCCAGCGGCCCCGCCCACCCCGTGACCCCGCCCGCCCAGCGACCACACCCACCCAGCGACCACGCCCACCCAGCGGACCCTCTCACCCAGCGGCCCCGCCCACCCAGCGGCCCCGCCCACCTAGTGACCCCGCCCACCTACTGACCACGCCCAACCAGCGACCCCGCCCACCCAGCGACCCCGCCCGCCCAGGGGCCACGCCCACTCAGCGACCACGCCCACCCAGCGACCCCGCCCGCCCAGCGGCCACGCCCACCCAGCGGCCCCGCTCACCCAGCGGCCCCGCCCACCCAGCGGCCCCGCCCACCCAGCGGCCCCGCCCACCCAGCGGCCCCGCCCGCCCAGCGGCCCCGCCCACCCAGCGGCCCCGCCCACCCAGCGGCCCCGCCCACCTTTCCTCGGGCGACTGGGGGCGGCTCGTGGAGCGGGAAGTGGCGCAGGATGTCGGGCGCCACCTCGCGCAGGAACCACGCGGAGCTGCGGCACTCGCGGCCCCCCACCCTCCTGGGCTCGCGGCGGGGGGGGGGGCACGCCCCGCCCCTCCCCCTCCCCCTCCTCCTCCCCCTCCCCGCCCTCCCGCCCGCCCCCACCATCGCGCGCCGCCGGAGACGTCGCCGGAGACGCGGCGGCGGCGCCGGTGACGTCTCCGGCGACGTCTCCGGCGACGTCTTCACCGCCGGTGACGTCACCGCCGGCGTCTTGGAGGTGGAGCAGCTCGGGTCGGGCGCGGAAGACGGCGGCACGGTGCTCACCCAGCCACGTGTCAGTCACGTGACGCAGATTCTGGGCCAGGGGGAGGAGGGGGGGGAGGGTAGTGGTGGTGTAAGAGGTGGTGGTGGTGGTGGTAGTGGTGGTGGTGGTTGTGGTGGTAGTGGTGATGGTGGTGGTAGTGGTGGTGGTGTAAGAGGTGGTGGTGGTAGTGGTGGTGGTGTAAGTGGTGGTAGTGGTGGTGGTAGTGGTAGTGGTGGTGGTAGTGATGGTGGTGGTGTAAGAGGTGGTGGTGGTGGTGGTGTAAGTGGTGATGGTGGTGGTGGTGGTGGTGATGGTGGTGGTGGTGGTGGTAGTGGTTGTGGTGGTAGTGGTGGTGGTTGTGGTGGTGGTGGTGGTGGTTGTGGTGGTGGTGGTAGTGGTGGTGGTGGTGGTGGTTGTGGTGGTGGTGGTAGTGGTGGTGGTGGTTGTGGTGGTGGTGGTGGTGTAAGTGGTGGTAGTGGTGGTGGTGTAAGTGGTGGTGGTACTGGTAGTGGTGGTAGTGGTGGTGGTAGTGGTGGTGTAAGTGGTGGTGGTAGTGGTGGTAGTGGTGGTGGTAGTGGTGGTGGTAGTGGTGGTGTAAGTGGTGGTGGTAGTGGTGGTGGTAGTGGTGGTGTAAGTGGTGGTGGTAGTGGTGGTGGTAGTGGTGGTAGTGGTAGTGGTGGTGGTAGTGGTGGTGGTAGTGGTGGTGGTGTAAGTGGTGGTGGTACTGGTAGTGGTGGTAGTGGTGGTGGTAGTGGTGGTGTAAGTGGTGGTGGTAGTGGTGGTAGTGGTGGTGGTAGTGGTGGTGGTAGTGGTGGTGTAAGTGGTGGTAGTGGTGGTGGTAGTGGTGGTGTAAGTGGTGGTGGTAGTGGTGGTGGTAGTGGTGGTAGTGGTAGTGGTGGTGGTAGTGGTGGTGGTAGTGGTGGTGGTAGTGGTGGTAGTGGTGGTGTAAGTGGTGGTGGTAGTGATGGTGGTGGTGGTGTAAGTGGTGGTGGTAGTGGTGGTAGTGGTGGTGGTAGTGGTAGTGGTGGTGGTAGTGGTAGTGGTGGTGGTGGTGGTGGTAGTGGTGGTGGTGTTAGTGGTGGTGGTAGTGGTGGTGGTAGTGGTGGTGGTAGTGGTGGTGGTGGACCGGTTCTGGTTCCTGCCACCCAGAGGGGTGGACAGTCCTCTACTCGGGGCAGCAGACTGCCAAACAACAGGGAGTGGCTCTTCTTTTGAACAAAAGAATGAAGGGGGCGTGGCGGTGAGGTGTGGGAAGCTGTAAGCCCCAGGCTACTTTGGGCTCGCCTTCCCATCAATCGGAGGCGAGGATTGGTGGTCGTGGTTAATTATGCCCCCGCCGAAGACGAACATCCGTGGAGGGATGCGGGCAAAGCCGATGAGTCAGATGCCTTCTATGACCTCCTGTCACAGGTGCTGGCTAAAGTGGCCCCTCGGGATAGTCATCTTGTTGGGTGACTTCAATGCCCGAGTTGGTCATGATGCTAACACCTGGTCTGGAGTGAATGGAGGGCATGGGCCAGATCAGCCCAATAACAACGGAAGGAGGCTGCTAGATTTTTGTGCAGCCCGTGGGCTTGTAATTACCAACACGCTGTTCCGGCATCGGCGCATCCAAACAACATCATGGATGCATGCCGGGTCCAAGCAAGAACATCTGCTGGACTACATAGTGACGGACCAGCGGATGCGAGCCCATGTCCTTGACACCAGGACCTACCGTGGAGCTGATCTGCCCTCTGACCATCGACTAGTCATCTGTAAGATGCGCCTGCCATTCTTCCACTCCGGCGGTGGGTGTACACCCAGGACCTCATCCCAAACTAAAGTGGCCTGGTCTCAGTTATCTAATGAAAGTTGCAAGCGAGAATTTCATCATCGCTTGCGGCTGGGGTTGGCATCGTCCCCCACTCCTCCTGATGTCGAGGGTAAATGGGCGAGGTTTAGGACTGTGACTCATGCAGCTGCAATGGCTGCTATGGGTACGCGGTCCAGACCTCCCCAGAGACCCTGGCTGACAGAGGAGGTGTTCAGGATGGTTGAGAAAAAGCAACAGGCCCACTGTCATCGGCTACAGAATCCCACGTCAGAGAATGAGGAGGCTTACTGCAGCCTTCGCTCGGAGGTTTGGAGAGCCGTGAGACGCTGCAAGGATGGGTGGTGGTCGCAGGTTGCTGAGGAGATGGAGTCTGCCTCAGTGGCCCGTGATCACAAATCTCTATTTAACTCCATCAAAAAATTAACCTGCAGGGCCACACCTATTACCATCATTAGGGGAAAAAATGGTGATCCAATCTTCGACCCCCAGGAACAGGTTTGCAGATTTGCTGAGCATTTCTGTGAGGTCCTGGGGGAGGGGAAATCCCTCAGCCAGGAAAACATCGTGGTACAAAGTGGGGATGACCCTGCTGAGGCTGCGGTGCCTCAAATATTGGAAGAAGTCACCCCCTGTGAGTGGCTGGCTGAGGTGCCATCTGTTGAGGAAGTACTGAAGGCGATCCGGTGTCTGAGACCAGGAAAGGCAGCGGGCAGAGATGATCTCCCAAGCGAAATGCTGAGGGAGGGTGGCGTTTGTGCACAGCCTGCCCTATATGACATCATAACAACAGTCTGGAACACTGGACAGGTTCCGCAGGATTAGAAGGATGCCCTGGTGGTCGCCCTCTTTAAGAAGGGGGACCGCACAGACTGTAACAACTACAGGGGCATCTCACTCCTCAGTGTGCCGGGAAAGGCCCTGGCAAGGATTATTCAACATCGCCTTGCCAGGCACGCTGAGGAGAGGCTTGCGGAGCCCCAATGCAGTTTCAGGAAAGGGCGGTCCAGCACGGATGCCAAATTTTCTGTCCGTCTGCTACAGCAGAGGTGTAGGAAATTCCAGCAAGACCTACATCTCTGCTTTATTGACCTGGTCAAGGCCTATGATACCATCAGTAGGCCTGGGCTCTGGGTTGTTCTTCATGCTTTTGGAGTACCTGACCCTCTGCTCATGATCATTAAGGACCTTCATGATGGTGAGCGGGCCCGGGTAAAACTACGTGGCCGGGAGGCAGAGCCATTTCCTGTACACCTTGGGGTGTGACAGGGATGTCCTCTGGCTCCCACATTATTTAACATCTATTTTGACCACGTAGTTTGTGAAGCCTTCAATAGCTGTACCGGGGGAATCTCCATATGGTACAGACATAATGGGAGGCTGATCAATGCCCGGGAGCGGTCAAGGGATGGCTCCCTATTGCTCAACCACGTTATGTATGCTGATGATTTGGTAATAGCTGCTCATTCAGAGGAGGAGTTGGAGATGCTGCTGTTAAGAGTGGAGCGTGCTACTATGAGATGGGGCCTTACCATCAGCCCCACCAAAACTAAGCACCTGCCTGGGTATTTTGTACCATCGGACAGTCCACCCCCACAACTCCCAATCGGTGATGGGGCAGTTGTGGAGAGAGTGGAGAGTTTCCCATACCTGGGCAGTGTGCTTATGATCGGCTCCAGTTTAACAGCAGAGGTTTCACTCCGAATCAGTCAAGTGGCAATATCTTTTCATCAGTTGCGTAATGCTGTGTGGAAGCTACCTGGTCTGTCGCTCCGCACTAAGCTTCAGGTCTTCTCGGCCACAGTCATTCCCTCCCTTCTCTACGCTTGCGAAACATGGACCCCCCTAATGGAACATCTTCGCCAGTTAGAAACATTTAGGCTGGCCTGCTTACGATCCATCCAGGGTTTAACCAGGCTGGATTGTGTGAGGAGCTCACAAATCCTTGAAAGATCTGGGAAAGGTCCCATCGGTGAGCACCTCCGGCAGGCAAGGCTGCGTTGGCTGGGTCATGTAGCCCGCATGCCCAGCCACCGCATGCCGAAACAGCTTTTGTTCAGCTGGATCGAGGGGGCTAAACGGGCGCGGCACGGGCTAGAGAAGAGATGGAGTGACGTGGTACGGGAGGACGTGGAGCTGAGTGGACTTGCCGATGACCGGTACTAGTGGTGTCAAGATCGGCCTCTGTGGAGGAGGCTCATGAAGGACGCTACTGGGCAGTTGGAGGCAGTCGCCCTCCAAGCGGAGTGCCGGGTGGCTAAAGCACAGCAGGTTGGCACAGTAGGGGGCACAAGTGGTGCATCAGCCAGTCATCTCAGTCAGTCGACCTGTGGCACCTGCTGGGTCTGCCCCGTGACTTCCTGTCAGCGGGCGTTCGACACTCCACGTGGCCTCAATGTGCACATGGCCTGGCACAAGCATCGTGGTGACGTCACCACCACTTAGTGGCGAATGGCGGTTGTATTGTTGGTAGTGGTGATAGTGTTAGAGATGGTGGTAGTGGTGTTATTGTTAGCGGTGGTGGTTGTGGTGGTGGTAGTGGTGTTAGTGGTGTTAGTGGTAGTAGTGGTGGTGGTAGTGGTGGTGGTGGTGTGAGTGGTGTTAGTGGTGTTAGTGGTAGAGGTGGTGGTGGTGGTAGTGGTGGTAGTGCTAGAGATGGTGGTAGTGGTGTTAGTGTTAACGGTGGTGGTTGTGGTGGTGGTAGTGGTGTTAGTGGTGTGAGTGGTAGTAGTGGTGGTGGTAGTGGTGGTGGTTGTGGTGTTAGTGGTGTTAGTGGTAGCGGTGGTGGTTGTGGTGGTGGTAGTGGTGGGGGTTGTGGTGTTAGTGGTGGTTGTGGTGGTTGTGGTGTTAGTGGTTGTGGTTGTGATGTTAGTGTTAGAGATGGTGGTAGTGGTTTTAGTGGTGGTGGTGTGAGTGGTAGTAGTGGTGGTGGTTGTGGTGGTTGTGGTGTTAGTGGTGGTGTGAGTGGTAGTAGTGGTGGTGGTGGTGTGAGTGGTAGTAGCGGTGGTGGTTGTGGTGTTAGTGGTGGTGGTTGTGGTGTCAGTGGTGGTTGTGGTGTCAGTGGTGGTGGTTATGTTGGTGGTAGTGGTGTTAGTGGTGGTGGGTGTGGTGGTTGTGGTGTTAGTGGTGTTAGTGGTGTAAGTGGTGGTGGTTGTGTTGGTGGTTGTGGTGGTTCTGGTGTTAGTGGTGGTGGTTGTGGTGTTAGTGGTGTTGGTTGTGTTGGTTGTGTTGGTGGTTGTGGTGGTTTTGGTGTCAGTGGTGGTGGTTGTGGTGGTTTTGGTGGTTGTGTTGGTGGTTGTGTTGGTTGTGTTGGTGGTTGTGGTGGTTGTGGTGTCAGTGGTGGTGGTTGTGGTGGTTGTGGTGTTAGTGGTGTTGGTTGTGTTGGTTGTGTTGGTGGTTGTGGTGGTTGTGGTGTCAGTGGTGGTGGTTGTGTTGGTTGTGTTGGTGGTTGTGGTGGTTGTGGTGTTAGTGGTGGTGGTTGTGGTGTTAGTGGTGTCAGTGGTGGTGGTTGTGGTGGTTGTGGAGTCAGTGGTGGTGGTTGTGGTGGTTGTGGTGGTTGTGTTGGTGGTTGTGGTGGTTGTGTTGGTGGTTGTGGTGGTTGTGGTGTTAGTGTTGGTGGTTGTGGTGGTTGTGGTGTTAGTGTTGGTGGTTGTGGTGGTTGTGTTGGTGGTTGTGGTGGTGGTGTCAGTGGTGGTGGTGGTGTCAGTGGTGGTGGTTGTGTTGGTTGTGTTGGTGGTTGTGTTGGTGGTTGTGGTGGTTCTGGTGTTAGTGGTGGTGTTAGTGGTGGTGCTCGTGTTGGTCGTGTTGGTTGTGGTGGTTGTGGTGGTGGTGGTGTCAGTGGTGGTGCTCGTGACACGCACCCGTAGTACCACGGAGCCGTGCGTGTGCGCTCCACTGGGCAGCGTGTAAGCGGAGGACTTCTTGTAGACGTGGCCAACACGGGAACAAGGCACCTCCTCTACCTGGCCTCCACACATCCACACCTACACACGGACACACACACACACACAGCGGGTAGATACACACAGACACACCTACACACGGACACACACACATACAGCGGGTAGATTCACACAGACACACCTACACACGGACACACACACATACAGCGGGTAGATTCACACAGACACACCTACACACGGACACACACACACATACAGCGGGTAGATTCACACAGACACACCTACACACGGACACACACACATACAGCGGGTAGATTCACACAGACACACCTACACACGGACACACACACATACAGCGGGTAGATACACACAGACACACCTACACACGGACACACACACACAGCGGGTAGATACACACAGACACACCTACACGCAGACACACACAAAGCAGATAGGTACACACAGACACACCTACACACGGACACACACACAGCGGGTAGATACACACAGACACACCTACACACAGACACACACAGAGCAGATAGATACACACAGACACACCTACACACAGACACACACACAGCAGATAGATACACACAGACACACCTACACACGGACACACACACATACAGCGGGTAGATTCACACAGACACACCTACACACGGACACACACACATACAGCGGGTAGATTCACACAGACACACCTACCCACGGACACACACACATACAGCGGGTAGATTCACACAGACACACCTACACACGGACACACACACATACAGCGGGTAGATTCACACAGACACACCTTCACACGGACACACACGCAGCAGATAGATACAAACAGACACACCTACACACGGACACACACAGCGGGTAGATACACACAGACACACCTACACACGGACACACACACATACAGTGGGTATATACACACAGACACACCTACACACGGACACACACGCAGCAGATAGATACACACAGACACACCTACACACGGACACACACACACACACAGCGGGTAGATACACACAGACACACCTACACACGGACACACACAGAGCAGATAGATACACACAGACACACCTACACACGGACACACACAGCAGATACACACAGTGGGTAGATACACACAGACACACCTACACACGGACACACACACAGCAGATAGATACACACAGACACACCTACACACGGACACACACACAGTGGGTAGATACACACAGACACACCTACACACGGACACACACACACAGCAGATAGATACACACAGACACACCTACACACGGACACACACAGCAGAGAGATACACACAGACACACCTACACACGGACACACACACACAGCGGGTAGATACACACAGACACACCTACACACGGACACACACACACAGCGGGTAGATACACACAGACACACCTACACAGGGACACACACACAGCGGGTAGATACACACAGACACACCTACACAGGGACACACACACAGCGGGTAGATACACACAGACACACCTACACACGGACACACACACAGCGGGTAGATACACACAGACACACCTACACACGGACACACACAGCAGCTAGATACACACAGACACACCTACACACGGACACACACACAGCAGATAGATACACACACAGCGGGTAGATACACACAGACACACATACACACGGACACACACGCAGCATATAGATACACACAGACACACCTAGACACGGACACACACAGCAGATGGATACACACAGACACACCTACACACGGACACACACACACAGCAGATAGATACACACAGACACACCTACACACGGACACACACAGCAGAGAGATACACACAGACACACCTACACACGGACACACACACACAGCGGGTAGATACACACAGACACACCTACACACGGACACACACACACAGCGGGTAGATACACACAGACACACCTACACAGGGACACACACACAGCGGGTAGATACACACAGACACACCTACACAGGGACACACACACAGCGGGTAGATACACACAGACACACCTACACACGGACACACACACAGCGGGTAGATACACACAGACACACCTACACACGGACACACACAGCAGCTAGATACACACAGACACACCTACACACGGACACACACACAGCAGATAGATACACACACAGCGGGTAGATACACACAGACACACATACACACGGACACACACGCAGCATATAGATACACACAGACACACCTAGACACGGACACACACAGCAGATGGATACACACAGACACACCTACATACGGACACACACATTTACAGTATATATACACAGCCACGCGTAGTGTGGGTGAGTGGGTGAATGAGTGGATGAGTGGGTGAGTGAGTGAGTGGGTCAGTGGGTGAGTGGGTGAGTGATTGGGTGAGTGAGTTGGTGGTTGAGTGAGTGAGTGTGTGGATGAGTGAGTGAGTGGGTGAGTGAGTGGGTGAGTGAGTGAGTGGGTGAGTGGGTGAGTGAGTGGGTGAGTGAGTGAGTTGGTGAGTGAGTTGGTGATTGAGTGAGTGGGTGGGTGAGTGAGTGTGTGGATGAGTGAGTGAGTGGGTGAGTGAGTGGGTGAGTGAGTGAGTGGGTGAGTGAGTGGGTGAGTGTGTGGATGAGTGGGTGGGTGAGTGGGTGGGTGAGTGAGTTAGTTGGTGAGTGAGTTGGTGATTGAGTGAGTGGGTGAGTGAGTGTGTGGATGAGTGAGTGAGTGAGTGGATGAGTGAGTGGGTGAGTGAGTGAGTGGGTGATTGAGTGAGTGAGTAAGTGAGTGAGTTGGTGAGTGAGTGAGTTGGTAAGTGAGTGAGTTGGTGATTGAGTGAGTGAGTGAGTTGGTGATTGAGTGAGTGGGTGAGTAAGTGGGTGGGTAAGTGAGTGAGTGGGTGAGTGCTACTAGCACTTGCCCCTACAGCCTGTGAGAGGCTATACGGGGGATCTTTGTCTTTGCACCTTTAATGACAGCTGGAGGCTCTCCCCACCCATCATCTCCAAACCATCTTCCAAGCCGCCCAGGTCCTGCAAGTAGTCCCGGCGGATCGCAAAGATCCCTCCGCCTACAGGGGTCCTTCAACCCCAACGCAGGGGGGGAGGGCGAGCGAGAGAGAGAGAAAGTAGTCTCGGCGGATCGCAAAGATCCCTCCGCCTACAGGGGTCCTTCAACCCCAACGCAGAGGGGGAGGGCGAGCGAGAGAGAGAGAAAGTAGTCCCGGCGGATCGCAAAGATCCCTCCACCTACAGGGGTCCTTCAACCCCAACGCAGAGGGGGAGGGCGAGCGAGAGAGAGAGAAAGTAGTTCCGGCGGATCGCAAAGATCCCTCCGCCTACAGGGGTCCTTCAGCCCCAACGCAGAGGGGGAGGGCGAGCGAGAGAGAGAGAAAGTAGTTCCGGCGGATCGCAAAGATCCCTCCACCTACAGGGGTCCTTCAACCCCAACGCAGAGGGGGAGAGGAGGGGAGAAAGTAGTTCCGGCCGCGGTCATTTTTCCATCGTCGTCGATGACGTCACAATCGACGTCGTCGTCGGCGGCATCATGATCCGTGACGTCATGGGCATCAATAGCATCGTCATCGACAACATCGTTTTCGTCAACATCGTCTGCAATGACGTCATTATCGACATCATCAGCATCGTCATTATAATCAATGACGTCATTATCGACATCAGCAGCATCGTCATTATAATCATTGACGTCATAATCGACATCGTCAGCATCGTCATTATAACCAATGACGTCATTATAGACATCATCAACATCGTCCGCAATGACGTCATCTCCACACTCACACGAAGATAACAACTTGCTAGAGGCTACACGGGGGACCTTTGTCTGTGTCTACATTCATAGACGCTGCTGCTGCTACTCGCTACTAACAGCACTTGCCCCTACAGCCTGCTAGAGGCTACACGGGGGACCTTTGTCTGTGTCTACCTTCATAGACGCTGCTGCTGCTACTCGCTACTAACAGCACTTGCCCCTACAGCCTGCTAGAGGCTACACGGGGGACCTTTGAAGGGCACCTGAAGGTCACCTGAAGGTCACCTGAGAGGTCACCTGAGGGCCACCTGAGGGTCACCTGAGGGTCAGCTGAAGTGCACCTGAAGGTCACCTGAGGTGCACCTGAAGGTCACCTGAAGGTCACCTGAGAGGTCACCTGAGGGCCACCTGAGGGTCACCTGAAGGTCACCTGAGGGTCAGCTGAAGTGCACCTGAAGGTCACCTGAGGTGCACCTGAAGGTCACCTGAAGGTCACCTGAAGGTCACCTGAAGCGCACTTGAAGTGCACCTGAAGGTCACTTGAAGGTCACCTGAAGCGCACTTGAAGTGCACCTGAAGCGCACTTGAAGGTCACCTGAAGGTCACTTGAAGGTCACATGAAGTGCACCTGAAGGGCACCTGCGGGTCACCTGAGGGTCACCTAAAGGTCACCTCAAGGTCACCTCAAGGTCACCTGAAGGGCACCTGAAGGTCACCTGAAGGTCACCTGAAGTGAACCTGAAGGTTACCTGAAGGTCACCTGAAGTGAACCTGAAGGTCACCTGAAGTCCACCTAAAGGTCACCTGAAGGTCACCTGAAGTGAACCCGAAGGTCACCTGAAGGTCACCTGAAGTGAACCTGAAGGTTACCTGAAGGTCACCTGAAGTGAACCTGAAGGTCACCTGAAGTCCACCTAAAGGTCACCTGAAGGTCACCTGAAGGTCACCTGAAGTGAACCTGAAGGTTACCTGAAGGTCACCTGAAGGTCACCTGAAGGGCACCTGAAGTCCACCTGAAGGTCACCTGAAGGTCACCTGAAGGTCACCTGAAGGTCACCTGAAGTGAACCTGAAGGTTGCCTGAAGGTCACCTGAAGGTCACCTGAAGGGCACCTGAAGTCCACCTAAAGGTCACCTGACGGTCACCTGAAGGTCACCTGAAGGTCACCTGAAGCTCACCTGAAGTCCACCTAAAGGTCACCTGAAGGTCACCTGAAGGTCACCTGAAGGTCACCTGGAGCGAACCTGAAGGTCACCTGAAGTGCACCTGAAGGGCACCTAAAGGGCACATGAGGGTCACCTAAAGGTCACCTAAAGGTCACCTGAAGGTCACCTGAAGGTCACCTGAAGGGCAGGTAGGGCAGCTGCCCAGGCAGGAGAGGCAGCCGCTTGTAGTCGAGGCGCCAGTCGAAGGCTCCCCTGCGGGCGCCGCCCTCCTGTGCTCGGTACGTGAACGTGGAGTGGTCAATGACGTCGAGCAGCGGGCAGGCCACCGTGTCGGCCCTCAGCCACAGCCGCTCTGGGGGGGGGGGGGGGGGGGGGGGGGGGGGGGGGGGGGGGTGACAGGGGGTCCGGCACGGCCATTGTGAACCTGACCCATCTCTCTCCCTCCCCTCATCTCCCCCTCCATCCGTCCCCCTCCCCCTCCCTCCCCCATCTGCCACCCATCTCCCCCTCCCTCCCCCTCCCTCCCCCATCTCCCACCCATCTCCCCCTCCCTCCCCCACCCTCCCCCATCTCCCCCTCCCTCCCTCCCCCTCCCTCCCCCTCCCCCTCCCTCCCCCATCTCCCCCTCCCATCTCCCCCGCCCTCCCCCTCCCTCCCTCTCCCTCCCTCCCCCCATCTCCTTCCCCCCATCTCTCACCCATCTCTCTCCCCCCTCCCCCCTCCCTCCTCCCATCTCCCCCGCCCTCCCCCTCCCTCCCCCTCCCCTCCCCCCATCTCCCCCATCTCTCTCCCCTCCCCCCCATCTCCCACCCACATCCTACCCATCTCCCCCTCCCTCCCTCCCCCTCCCTCCCTCCATCTCCCACCTATCTCCCCCCTCCATCTCCCCCTCCCTCCCCCCCTCTCCCCTCCTTCCCCCTCCCCCTCCCCCCTCCCCCCCCCCCTCCCCCTCTCCCCCCCCCCCCTCCCCCCCCCGCACCCAGCAGTGGAGGCAGCCAGTTGGTGTTGACTTCGCAGTGCGAGTCCAGGAACACGAGGGCCTCGCCCAGGGCGGCCCGGGCCCCGACGGCCCTTGCCTGGATGGGCCCCACGCGGCGTGGGAGGCGAAGCAGCCGGAGCCTGGGGGGGGGCCCCCCCTGGCCCCCCCCCGCCTCCTCCGCCTCCTCCAGCAGCACGGCGAGGGGTGGCAGGGGGGCAGAGTCGCGGTCTGCGGAGAGGCACGGAAGTCGTCATTACGGATGACGTCATTATGGATGACGTCATTACGGATGACGTCATTACGGATGACGTCATTACGGATGACGTCATTATGGATGTCGTCATTACGGATGACGTCATTATGGATGACGTCATTACGGATGACGTCATTATGGATGTCGTCATTATGGATGTCGTCATTACGGAAGTCGTCATTATGGAAGTCGTCATTATGGATGTCGTCATTATGGATGACGTCATTACGGATGACGTCATTATGGATGACGTCATTACGGATGACGTCATTATGGATGACGTCATTATGGATGTCGTCATTACGGATGTCGTCATTATGGATGTCGTCATTATGGATGTCGTCATTACGGATGTCGTCATTACGGATGTCGTCATTATGGATGTCGTCATTATGGATGTCGTCATTATGGAAGTCGTCATTACGGATGACGTCATTATAGATGTCGTCATTATGGATGTCGTCATTATGGATGTCGTCATCATGGATGTCGTCATTATGGATGTCGTCATTATGGAAGTCGTCATTATGGATGTCGTCATTATGGATGTCGTCATTATGGATGTCGTCATTATGGATGTCGTCATTATGGAAGTCGTCATTATGGATGTCGTCATTATGGAAGTCGTCATTACGGATGTCGTCATTATGGATGTCGTCATTATGGATGTCGTCATTATGGATGTCGTCATTATGGATGTTGTCATTATGGAAGTCGTCATTATGGATGTCGTCATTATGGAAGTCGTCATTATGGATGTCGTCATTATGGATGTCGTCATTATGGAAGTCGTCATTACGGATGTCGTCATTATGGATGTCGTCATTATGGATGTCGTAATTATGGATGTCGTCATTATGGATGACGTCATTACGGATGTCGTCATTATGGATGTCGTCATTATGGATGTCGTCATTATGGATGTCGTCATTATGGATGTCGTCATTATGGATGTCGTCATTATGGATGTCGTCATTACGGATGACGTCATTATGGATGACGTCATTACGGATGACGTCATTATGGATGACGTCATTACGGATGTCGTCATTATGGATGACGTCATTATGGATGTCGTCATTACGGATGTCGTCATTACGGATGTCGTCATTATGGATGTCGTCATTACGGATGTCGTCATTACGGATGTCGTCATTATGGATGTCGTCATTATGGATGTCGTCATTACGGATGTCGTCATTATGGATGTCGTCATTATGGATGTCGTCATTATGGATGTCGTCATTATGGATGTCGTCATTACGGATGTCGTCATTATGGATGTCGTCATTATGGATGTCGTCATTATGGATGACGTCATTATGGATGTCGTCATTACGGATGACGTCATTACGGATGACGTCATTATGGATGACGTCATTATGGATGTCGTCATTACGGATGTCGTCATTACGGATGACGTCATTATGGATGACGTCATTATGGATGTCGTCATTACGGATGTCGTCATTACGGATGTCGTCATTATGGATGTCGTCATTACGGATGTCGTCATTACGGATGTCGTCATTATGGATGTCGTCATTATGGATGACGTCATTACGGATGTCGTCATTATGGATGACGTCATTATGGATGTCGTCATTATGGATGTCGTCATTATGGATGTCGTCATTATGGATGTCGTCATTATGGATGTCGTCATTATGGAAGTCGTCATTACGGATGACGTCATTATGGATGACGTCATTACGGATGTCGTCATTATGGATGTCGTCATTACGGATGTCGTCATTACGGATGTCGTCATTATGGATGTCGTCATTATGGATGTCGTCATTATGGATGTCGTCATTACGGATGTCGTCATTATGGATGTCGTCATTATGGATGTCGTCATTATGGATGTCGTCATTATGGATGACGTCATTACGGATGACGTCATTATGGATGACGTCATTACGGATGTCGTCATTATGGATGTCGTCATTATGGATGTCGTCATTACGGATGTCGTCATTACGGATGTCGTCATTATGGATGTCGTCATTATGGATGTCGTCATTACGGAATGTCGTCATTATGGATGTCGTCATTATGGATGTCGTCATTATGGAAGTCGTCATTACGGGATGACGTCATTATAGATGTCGTCATTATGGATGTCGTCATTAATGGATGTCGTCATCATGGATGTCGTCATTATGGATTCGTCATTATGGAAGTCGTCATTATGGATGTCGTTCATTATGGATGTCGTCATTATGGATGTCGTCATTATGGATGTCGTCATTATGGAAGTCGTCATTATGGATGTCGCATTATGGAGTCGTCATTACGGATGTCGTCATTATGGATGTCGTCATTATGGATGTCGTCATTATGGATGTCGTCTATTATGGATGTTGTCATTATGGAAGTCGTCATTATGGATGTCGTCCATTATGGAAGTCGTCATTATGGATGTCGTCATTATGGATGTCGTCATTATGGAAGTCGTCATTACGGATGTCGTCATATGGATGTCGTCATTATGGATGTCGTCATTATGGATGTAGTCATTATGGATGTCGTCATTATGGATGTCGTCATTATGGATGTCGTCATTATGGATGACGTCATTATGGATGTCGTCATTATGGATGTCGTCATTACTGGATGTCGTCATTATGGATGTCGTCATTACGGATGTCGTCATTATGGATGTCGTCATTATGGATGTCGTCATTATGGATGTCGTCATTATGGATGTCGTCATTATGGATGTCGTCATTATGGATGTCGTCATTATGGATGTCGTCATTACGGATGTCGTCATTATGGATGTCGTCATTATGGATGTCGTCATTATGGATGTCGTCATTATGGATGTCGTCATTATGGATGTCGTCATTATGGATGTCGTCATTATGGATGTCGTCATTATGGATGTCGTCATTACGGATGACGTCATTATGGATGTCGTCATTATGGATGTCGTCATTATGGATGTCGTCATTATGGATGTCGTCATTACGGATGACGTCATTATGGATGTCGTCATTATGGATGTCGTCATTATGAATGTCGTCATTACGGATGACGTCATTATGGATGTCGTCATTATGGATGTCGTCATTACGGATGACGTCATTATGGATGACGTCATTACGGATGTCGTCATTATGAATGTCGTCATTATGGATGTCGTCATTACGGATGTTGTCATTACGGATGTCGTCATTATGGATGTCGTCATTACGGATGTCGTCATTATGGATGTCGTCATTATGGATGTCGTCATTACGGATGTCGTCATTATGGATGTCGTCATTATGGATGTCGTCATTATGGATGACGTCATTACGGATGTCGTCATTATGGATGTCGTCATTATGGATGTCGTCATTATGGATGTCGTCATTATGGATGTCGTCATTATGGATGTCGTCATTACGGATGTCGTCATTATGGATGTCGTTATTATGGATGTCGTCATTATGGATGTCGTCATTATGGATGTCGTCATTATGGATGTCGTCATTATGGATGACGTCATTATGGATGTCGTCATTATGGATGTCGTCATTATGGATGTCGTCATTATGGATGTCATCATTATGGATGTCGTCATTATGGATGTCGTCATTATGGATGTCGTCATTATGGATGTCGTCATTATGGATGTCGTCATTATGGATGACGTCATTACGGATGACGTCATTATGGATGACGTCATTACGGATGTCGTCATTATGGATGTCGTCATTATGGATGTCGTCATTACGGATGTCGTCATTACGGATGTCGTCATTATGGATGTCGTCATTATGGATGTCGTCATTATGGATGTCGTCATTATGGATGTCGTCATTATGGATGTCGTTATTATGGATGTCGTCATTATGGATGTCGTTATTATGGAAGTCGTCATTATGGATGTCGTCATTATGGATGTCGTCATTATGGATGTCGTTATTATGGATGTCGTCATTATGGATGTCGTCATTATGGCTGTCGTCATTATGGTAGTCGTCATTATGGATGTCGTCATTATAGATGTCGTCATTATGGATGTCGTCATTACGGATGTTGTCATTACGGATGTCGTCATTACGGATGTCGTCATTATGGATGTCGTCATTATGGATGTCGTCATTATGGATGTCGTCATTATGGATGTCGTCATTACGGATGTCGTCATTATGGATGTCGTCATTACGGATGTCGTCATTATGGATGTCGTCATTATGGATGTCGTTATTATGGATGACGTCATTACGGATGTCGTCATTATGGATGTCGTCATTATGGATGTCGTCATTATGGATGTCGTCATTATGGATGTCGTCATTACGGATGTCGTCATTATGGATGTCGTCATTATGGATGTCGTCATTATGGATGTCGTCATTATGGATGTCGTCATTACGGATGTCGTCATTACGGATGTCGTCATTACGGATGTCGTCATTACGGATGTCGTCATTATGGATGTCGTCATTATGGATGTCGTCATTATGGATGTCGTCATTATGGATGTCGTCATCATTGTCGTCATTATGGATGTCGTCAGTATGGATGACGTCATTATGGATGTCGTCATTATGGATGTCGTCATTATGGATGTCGTCATTATGGATGTCGTCATTATGGATGTTGTCATTATGGATGTCGTCATTATGGATGTCGTCATTATGGATGTCGTCATTACGGATGTCGTCATTATGGATGTCGTCATTATGGATGTCGTCATTATGGATGTCGTCATTACGGATGTCGTCATTACGGATGTCGTCATTATGGATGTCGTCATTATGGATGTCGTCATTATGGATGTCGTCATTACGGATGTCGTCATTACGGATGTCGTCATTATGGATGTCGTCATTATGGATGTTGTCATTATGGATGTCGTCATTATGGATGTCGTCATCGTCGTCATTGGAGTCGTCATCGTCGTCATTGGAGTCGTCGTCGTTATCGTTGTTATCGTCGTCATCCTCGTCATTACGGATGTCGTCACTGGAGTCGTCACTGGAGTCGTCATCGGAGTCGCCGTCGTCATCGTCGTCATCGTCGTCGTCATCATGACGGATGTCGTCATCGGAGTCGTCTTCATCGTCATCGTCGTCATCCTGATTGACATCATCGTCGTGGTCATTACAGATGTCGTCATCATTGTCTTCATTACTGATGTCGTCATCGTCGTCGTCATCGTCATTACGGACGTCGTCATCATTGTCGTCATTACCAATGTCGTCATCGTCGTCGTCATCGTCGTCATCGTCGTTGACATCATTGTCGTCGTCGTCATTACGGATGTCGTCATTGTCGTCGTCGTCATCGTCGTCATCGTCGCTGACATCATCATCGTGGTCATTACGGACGTCGCCATCATTGTCGTCATTACCGATGTCGTCATCGTCGTCGTCATCGTCGTCATCGTCGTCATCGTCATTGACATCATCGTCGTCGTCGTCATTACGGATGTCGTCATCATTGTCGTCATTACGGATATCATCATCGTCGTCAACATCATCATCATCATCGTCGTCGTCATTACAGATACCACAAATACAACTGATATCAGGCACACAACAAGGATGTCATCATTACGGATAACAACAACAACAACCGCCATTCACCACTAAGTGGCGGTGACGTCACCACGGCGCCTGTGCCAGGCTAGGTGCACTTTGAGGCTACCACGTGAAGTGTCGAAGGCTCTCAATGCTGACAGGAGGTCACGGGGCAGACCCAGCAGGTGCCACGGGTCGACTGACTGAGCTGACTGGCTGATGCACCACCTGTGCCCCATACTGTGCCAACTTGCTGCGCTTTAGCCACCCGGCGCTCCGCTCGTTGTTGTGAGCGTCGCTCCTCCGCCCTCCGTTGTTGTTGCTGGCGGGCGACTGCCTCCAACTGCCCAGCAGCAGCGTCCTTCACGAGCCTCCTCCACAGAGGCCGATCTTGACACCGCTGGTACCGGTCATCGGCAAGTCCACTCAGCTCCACATCCACAGAAGTCTGGCAGCCTCCTGCCGTTTGTTATTGAGCTGATCTGGCCCATGCCTTCCGATCACTCCAGCACAGGTGCCAGCATCATGACCAAATCGGGCTTTGAAGTCACCCAACAAGATGACTCTATCCCGAGGGGCCACTTTAGCCAGCACCTGTTACAGGAGGTCACAGAAGGCATCTGATTCATCGGCATTGCCTGCATTCCTCCACTGATGTTCATCTTCAGAGGGGGCATAAGCAACCACCACCACTTCCTCGCCTCTGATTGATGGCAAGACGAGCCCAAAGTAGCCTGGGGCTTACAGCTTCCCACACCTCACCGCCACGCTCCCAGTAGTAGTTCAAAAGAAGAGCCGCTCCCTGTTGTTTGGCAGTCTCCTTCACCGAGTTAGAGGACTGTCCACCCCTCATGGTGGCAGGAGCCAGAGCCGGTCCACCGGACCTCCTGAATGCCATGGAGATCCAGGCGGTACAGGTCCAGCTCCCGACAGAGGAGTGGCAGCCTCTCCTCCGCAGTGAGCCTTTGAACATTCCACGTGGCCACACGAAGTGGTCTTTTGCTGTTTTTGGAGGAGCCCCCGAGGGTGAGGAATTAGTCTCCTGGCTCCGCCAAATGGAGGTATGAGAGAGAGACACCCAGTCCCATTATCTCAGGGTCTCCGACACGGCCATTATGAACTCCAACTACATGGCCATCAATTTTCGATTTAAAGCTTTCGTGACTGCAAGGATTCATCTCCTTTGGTTCTTTCGGTAAAGTCACCACGTAGAATGAGAATAAAATAATAAATTGATAAAATAAAATAACACAATAAAATTCTCACGACGTTTCGGCCACAACACAAGCGGCCTTCATCAGGTGAAGGGACGAGACTGTCCGTGTTGTGGCCGAAACGTCGTGAGAATTTTATTGTGTTATTTTATTTTATCAATTTATTATTTTATTCTCATTCTACGTGACTTTACCGAAAGAACCAAAGAAGATACACGGCCATCGTGAACCCCACCCACACGGCCATCGTGAACCCCACCCACCTACATGGCCATCGTGAACCCCACCCACACGGCCACAGTGAACACCACCCACTCACACGGCCATCGTGAACCCCACCCACACGGCCATCGTGAACCCCACCCACACGGCCATCGTGAACCCCACCCACCCACACGGCCATCGTGAACCCCACCCACCCACACGGCCATCGTGAACCCCACCCACCCACACGGCCATCGTGAACCCCACCCACCCACAGGGCCACCGTGAACCCCACCCACACAGCCACCGTGAACCCCACCCACACGGCCATTGTGAACCCCACCCACACGGCCATCGTGAACCCCACCCACCCACACGGCCATTGTGAACCCCACCCACACGGCCATCGTGAACCCCCCCCACCCACACGGCCACCGTGAACCCCACCCCACCCACACGGCCATCGTGAACCCCACCCACCCACACGGCCATCGTGAACCCCACCCACCCACAGGGCCACCGTGAACCCCACCCACCCACACGGTCAACGTGAACCCCACCCACACGGCCATCGTGAACCCCACCCACCCACACGGCCATCGTGAACCCCACCCACCCACACGGCCACCGTGAACCCCACCCACCCACACGGTCATCGTGAACCCCACCCACACGGCCATCGTGAACCCCACCCACCCACACGGCCATCGTGAACCCCACCCACCCACAGGGCCACCGTGAACCCCACCCACACAGCCACCGTGAACCCCACCCACACGGCCATTGTGAACCCCACCCACACGGCCATCGTGAACCCCACCCACCCACACGGCCATTGTGAACCCCACCCACACGGCCATCGTGAACCCCACCCACCCACACGGCCACCGTGAACCCCACCCCACCCACACGGCCATCGTGAACCCCACCCACCCACACGGCCATCGTGAACCCCACCCACCCACAGGGCCACCGTGAACCCCACCCACCCACACGGTCAACGTGAACCCCACCCACACGGCCATCGTGAACCCCACCCACCCACACGGCCATCGTGAACCCCACCCACCCACACGGCCACCGTGAACCCCACCCACCCACACGGCCATCGTGAACCCCACCCACCCACACGGCCACCGTGAACTGACACACTCAGCCACCCCACCCCCTTCTTCCTAGCCCCGCCCCCCACCCCAGCCCCTCAGCCCCGCCCCCCCCCACTACCCCCCCAGCCCCGCCCCCCGCCCCCCCCCCCCCACACACCTCTAGCCCCCGCCCCCACAACCCCAGCTTCCCGCAGCCCCGACTAGCCCTGGCCCCCCCCCCCGGGCAAGCCACCCCGCAACGTTCCCCAAGTCCCGCCCCCTATCCCGTAGCCACGCCCCCCCCATCCCCCTCACGCCCCGCCCACGGCTCACCGTGGTCGCTGCTATCGTCCACGACGATGACCTCGAGGAGGAGCTGAGCGGGCGAGCGGCTGAGCACGCTGGTGACGGTGCGAAGCAGCGTGGCCACATGCTCGTTGTGGGTGGCGATCACCACGGACGCCGTGGGCAGATCCGCCGGGTAGCGAGCACCCACGCAGCTGTCGCACGGTGGGGGGGGGGGTGGGGGGTGGGGGGTGGGGTGGGGGGAGACGGAGGCACGGAGGGTGCGGTGTGGGTGGGTGGTTGGTGGGTGGGTGGGTGTGTGGGTGGTTGAGTGTGTGGGTGGTGGGTGGTTGAGTGTGTGGGTGTGTGGGTGTGTGGTGGGTGGTGGTTGGTGGATGTGTGGGTGGGTGGGTGGTTGGTGGATGTGTGGTGGGTGGTGGGTGGTTGAGTGTGTGGGTGGGTGGGTGTGTGGTGGGTGGTGGATGGGTGGGTGGTTGGGTGGGTGGTGGTTGAGTGGATGGGTGGGTGGTTAGGTGGTGGTTGGTGGGTGTGTAGTGGGTGGTGTTTGGTGGGTGTATGGTGGGTGGTTGAGTGGATGGGTGGGTGGTTAGGTGGTGTTTGGTGGGTGTATGGTGGGTGGTTGGGTGAGTGGTTGAGCGTGTGGGTGGGTGATTGAGTGTGTGGGTGGTTGGGTGGATGGCTGGTGGTTGGGTGGTGGTTGGGTGGTTGGGTGGTGGGTGGTGGGTGGGTGGGTGGGTGTGTGGGTGTGTGGGTGGGTGGGTGGGTGGTTGGGTGGGTGGTGGTTGAGTGTGTGGGTGGGTGGGTGGTTGGGTCGATGTGTGGGTGGATGGGTGGGTGGGTGGTTGGGTGGTGGTTGAGTGGATGGGTGGGTGGTTGGGTGGGTGCTTGGGTGGGTGGGTGTGTGGTGGGTGTGTGGGTGGGTGGGTGGGTGTGTGGTGGGTGTGTGGGTGTGTGGTGGGTGTGTGGTGGGTGTGTGGTGGGTGTGTGGGTGGGTGGATGGGTGTGTGGGTGGGTGGATGGGTGGGTGGTTGGGTGGTGTTTGGTGGGTGTATGGTGGGTGGTTGGGTGAGTGGTTGAGCGTGTGGGTGGGTGATTGAGTGTGTGGGTGGTTGGGTGGATGGCTGGTGGTTGGGTGGTGGTTGGGTGGTTGGGTGGGTGGTTGGGTGGATGTGTGGGTGGATGGGTGGGTGGGTGGGTGGTTGGTGGGTGTGTGGTGGGTGGTGGGTGGTTGAGTGTGTGGGTGGGTGGGTGTGTGGTAGGTGGTGGATGGGTGGGTGGTTGGGTGGGTGGTGGTTGAGTGGATGGGTGGGTGGTTGGGTGGTGGTTGGTGGGTGTGTGGTGGGTGGTTGGGTGGGTGGTTAGGTGGTGGTTGAGTGGATGGGTGGGTGGTTGGGTGGTGGTTGGTGGGTGTGTGGTGGGTGGTTGGGTGGGTGGTTAGGTGGTGGTTGAGTGGATGGGTGGGTGGTTAGGTGGTGTTTGGTGGGTGTATGGTGGGTGGTTGGGTGAGTGGTTGAGCGTGTGGGTGGGTGATTGAGTGTGTGGGTGGTTGGGTGGATGGCTGGTGGTTGGGTGGTGGTTGGGTGGTTGGGTGGGTGGTTGGGTGGATGTGTGGGTGGATGGGTGGGTGGGTGGTTGGTGGGTGTGTGATGGGTGGTTGGGTGGATGTGTGGGTGGATGGGTGGGTGGTTTGGTGGTGGTGGGTGGATGGGTGGGTGGTTGGGTGGGTGGTGGTTGAGTGGATGGGTGGGTGGTTGGGTGGTGGTTGGTGGGTGTGTGGTGGGTGGTGGTTGGTGGGTGTGTGGTGGGTGGTGTTTGGTGGGTGGTGGATGGGTGGGTGGTTGGGTGGGTGGTAGTTGGGTGGATGGGTGGGTGGTTGGGTGGGTGCTTGGGTGGGTGGTTGAGCGTGTGGGTGGGTGGTTGGGTGGATGGGTGGCTGGTGGGTGGTTGAGTGTGTGGGTGGTTGAGTGTGTGGGTGGGTTGTTGGGTGGGTGGTTGGGTGGTGGTTGGTGGGTGGTTGAGTGTGTGGGTGGTTGAGTGGGTGGGTGGGTGGTGGTTGGGTGGTGGTTGGTGGGTGGTTGAGTTTGTGGGTGGGTGGGTGGTTGGGTGGTGGTTGGTGGGTGGTTGAGTATGTGGGTGGTTGGGTGGTGGGTGTGGGTGAGTGGGTGAAAGTGGGTGGATGGTTGGGTGGGTGTATGGTGGGTGGTTGGGTGGGTGGTGGGTGGGTGTTGGGAGTGGCTGGTGGGTGGGTGTGGGTGGGTGAGTACACACACTGTGTGTTTGTGTGTGTACCACAAAATGCTGAGGGAGGGTGGCGTATGTGCACAGACTGCCCTACATGAGATCATAACAACATGATTGGAAGGATGCCCTGGTGGTCCCCCTCTTTAAGAAGGGGGACCGCACAGACTGTAACAACTACAAGGGCATCTCACTCCTCAGTGTGCCGGGAAGGGTACTGGCAAGGTTTATTCAACATCGCCTTGCCAGGCACGCTGAGGAGAGGCTTGCGGAGCCCCAATGCGGTTTCAGCAAAGGGCGGTCCTGCACAGATGCCATATTTTCTGCCCGTCTGCTACAGCAGAGGTGTAGGGAATTCCAGCAAGACCTACATCTCTGCTTTATTGACCTGGTCAAGGCCTATGATACCATCAGTAGGCCTGGGCTCTGGGTTGTTCTTCGTGCTTTTGGAGTACCTGACCCTCTGCTCACGATCATTAAGGACCTTCATGATGGTGAGCGGGCCCTGGTAAAATTACGTGGCCGGGAGTCAGAGCCATTCCCTGTTAACCTTGGGGTGCGACAGGGATGTCCTCTGGCTCCCACATTATTTAACATCTATTTTGACCACGTAGTTCGTGAAGCCTTCAATAGCTGTACCGGGGGAATCTCCATATGGTACAGATATAATGGGAGGCTGATCGATGCCCAGGTGCGGTCAAGGGATGGTTCCCTATTGCTCAACCACGTTATGTATGCTGATGATTTGGTAATAGCTGCTCAGTCAGAGGAGGAGTTGGAGACGCTGCTGCTGAGACTGGAGCGTGCCACTAAAAGGTGGGGCCTTACCATCAGCCCCACCAAAACTAAGCACCTGCCTGGGTATTTTGTACCATCGGACACTCCACCTCCACAACTCCAAATCGGTGATGGAGCAGTTGTGAAGAGAGTGGAGAGTTTCCTATACCTGGGCAGTGTGCTTATGACCGGTTCAAGTTTAACAGCAGAGGTCTCACTCCGAATCAGTCGAGCGGCAATATCTTTTCATCGGTTGCGTAACGCTGTGTGGAAGCTACCTGGTCTGTCGCTCCGCACTAAGCTTCAGGTCTTCTCGGCCACGGTCATTCCCTCTCTTCTCTACGCTTGCGAAACGTGGACCCCCCTAATGGAACATCTTCGCCGGTTAGAAACTTTTAGGCTGGCCTGCCTACGATCCATCCTGGGTTTAACCAGGCTGGATTGTGTGAGGAGCTCACAAATCCTTGAAAGATCTGGGCAAGGTCCTATCGGTGAGCTCCTCCAGCAGGCAAGGCTGCGATGACTGGGTCATGTAGCCCGCATGCCCAGCCACCGCATGCCGAAACAGCTTTTGTTCGGCCGGATTGAGGGGGTTAAGCGGGCGCGGCACGGGCTAGAGAAGAGATGGAGTGATGTGGTACAGGAGGACGTGGAGCTGAGTGGACTTGCCGATGACTGGTACCAGCGGTGTTAAGATCGGCCTCTGTGGAGGAGGCTCGTGAAGGATGCTACTGGGCAGTTGGAGGCAGTCGCCCTCCAACAACAACGGAGGGCGGAGGAGCGACGCTCAGAACAACGAGCGGAGCGCGGGGTGGCTAAAGCACAGCAGGTTGGCAAAGTAGGGGGCACAGGTGGTGCATCAGCCAGTCATCTCAGTCAGTCGACCCGTGGCACCTGGGTCTGCCCCGTGACCTCCTGCCAGCGGGCGTTCGACACTTCACGTGGCCTCAGGGTGCACATAGCCTGGCACAAGCGTCGTGGTGACGTCACCGCCACTTAGTGGCGAATGGCGGTTGTTGTTGTATGTGTGTATGTATGTGTGTGTCTGTATGTATGTGTCTGTGTGTGTCTGTGTTTGTGTCTGTGTGTGTATGTATGTGTGTGTATGTGTGTATGTATGTGTGTGTGTCTGTATGTATGTATGTGTCTGTATGTGTGTGTGTGTCTGTGTGTGTGTGTATGTATGTGTGTGTGTCTGTGTGTATGTGTTTGTGTCTGTATGTATGTGTGTGTCTGTTGTGTGTATGTGTGTGTCACTGTGTGTGTGTGTCACAGTGTGTGTGTTACTGTGTGTGTGTCACGGTGTGTGTGTGTCACTGTGTGTGTGTGTACCGTGGGTGTCTGAGGTCCGGCAGGGCTCTGTGTAGTCCCACGTGCTCGCTGTGTGTGTCACTGTGTGTCACTGTGTGTATCACTGTGTGTGTGTCACTGTGTGTGTGTGTGTCACAGTGTGTATGTCACTGTGTGTGTACCGTGGGTGTCTGAGGTCAGGCAGGGCTCTGTGTAGTCCCACGTGCTCGCTGTGTGTGTCACTGTGTGTCACTGTGTGTATCACTGTGTCTGTGTGTTACTGTGTGTGTGTGTCACTGTGTGTGTCACTGTGTGTGTCACTGTGTGTGTGTGTCACTGTGTGTGTGTCACTGTGTGTGTGTCACTGTGTGTGTGTGTTACTGTGTGTGTGTCACCGTGTGTGTGTGTGTCACAGTGTGTGTGTCACTGTGTGTGTGTCACTGTGTGTGTCACTGTGTGTGTGTCACTGTGTGTGTGTCACTGTGTGTGTCACAGTGTGTATGTCACTGTGTATGTCACTGTGTACCGTGGGTGTCTGAGGTCAGGCAGGGCTCTGTGTAGTCCCACGTGCTCGCTGTGTGTGTCACTGTGTGTGTCACAGTGTGTATGTCACTGTGTATGTCACTGTGTACCGTGGGTGTCTGAGGTCAGGCAGGGCTCTGTGTAGTCCCACGTGCTCGCTGTGTGTGTCACTGTGTGTCACTGTGTGTATCACTGTGTGTGTGTGTCACTGTGTGTGTGTGTGTCACAGTGTGTATGTCACTGTGTGTGTACCGTGGGTGTCTGAGGTCAGGCAGGGCTCTGTGTAGTCCCACGTGCTCGCTGTGTGTGTCACTGTGTGTCACTGTGTGTATCACTGTGTGTGTGTGTGTTACTGTGTGTGTGTGTCACTGTGTGTGTCACTGTGTGTGTGTGTCACTGTGTGTGTGTCACTGTGTGTATGTCACTGTGTGTGTACCGTGGGTGTCTGAGGTCAGGCAGGGCTCTGTGTAGTCCCACGTGCTCGCTGTGTGTGTCACTGTGTGTATCACTGTGTGTGTGTGTCACTGTGTGTGTCACTGTGTGTGTCACTGTGTGTGTGTGTCACTGTGTGTGTGTCACTGTGTGTGTGTCACTGTGTGTGTCACTGTGTGTGTGTGTTACTGTGTGTGTGTCACCGTGTGTGTGTGTCACAGTGTGTGTGTCACTGTGTGTGTGTCACTGTGTGTGTCACTGTGTGTGTGTCACTGTGTGTGTGTCACTGTGTGTGTCACAGTGTGTATGTCACTGTGTATGTCACTGTGTACCGTGGGTGTCTGAGGTCAGGCAGGGCTCTGTGTAGTCCCACGTGCTCGCTGTGTGTGTCACTGTGTGTCACTGTGTGTATCACTGTGTGTGTGTGTCACTGTGTGTGTGTGTGTCACAGTGTGTATGTCACTGTGTGTGTACCGTGGGTGTCTGAGGTCAGGCAGGGCTCTGTGTAGTCCCACGTGCTCGCTGTGTGTGTCACTGTGTGTCACTGTGTGTCACTGTGTGTGTGTGTCACTGTGTGTGTCACAGTGTGTATGTCACTGTGTATGTCACTGTGTGTGTACCGTGGGTGTCTGAGGTCAGGCAGGGCTCTGTGTAGTCCCACGTGCTCGCTGTGTGTGTCACTGTGTGTCACTGTGTGTATCACTGTGTGTGTGTGTCACTGTGTGTATGTCACTGTGTACCGTGGGTGTCTGAGGTCAGGCAGGGCTCTGTGTAGTCCCACGTGCTCGCTGTGTGTGTCACTGTGTGTCACTGTGTATGAGTGTCACAGTGTGTGTCACTGTGTACCGTGGGTGTCTGAGATCAGGCAGGGCTCTGTGTAGTCCCACGTGCTCGCTGTGTGTGTCACTGTGTGTCACTGTGTGTGTGTGTGTGTCACTGTGTGTGTCACTGTGTGTGTGTACCGTGGGTGTCTGAGGTCAGGCAGGGCTCTGTGTAGTCCCACGTGCTCGCTGTGTGTGTCACTGTGTGTATCACTGTGTGTGTCACAGTGTGTGTCACAGTGTGTGTGTCACTGTGTGTGTGTGTCACTGTGTGTATGTCACTGTGTGTGTACCGTGGGTGTCTGAGGTCAGGCAGGGCTCTGTGTAGTCCCACGTGCTCGCTGTGTGTGTCACTGTGTGTCACTGTGTGTGTCACTGTGTACCGTGGGTGTCTGAGGTCAGGCAGGGCTCTGTGTAGTCCCACGTGCTCGCTGTGTGTGTCACTGTGTGTCACTGTGTGTGTCACTGTGTGTGTGTGTGTCACTGTGTGTATGTCACTGTGTACCGTGGGTGTCTGAGGTCAGGCAGGGCTCTGTGTAGTCCCACGTGCTCGCTGTGTGTGTCACTGTGTGTCACTGTGTGTGTGTCACTGTGTGTGTGTGTGTCACTGTGTGTGTGTGTGTCACTGTGTGTGTGTGTCACTGTGTGTGTGTCACTGTGTGTGTGTGTGTCACTGTGTGTGTGTTACTGTGTGTGTGTCACTGTGTGTGTGTGTCACAGTGTGTATGTCACTGTGTGTGTCACTGTGTACCGTGGGTGTCTGAGGTCAGGCAGGGCTCTGTGTAGTCCCACGTGCTCGCTGTGTGTGTGTGTGTCACAGTGTGTATGTCACTGTGTGTGTACCGTGGGTGTCTGAGGTCAGGCAGGGCTCTGTGTAGTCCCACGTGCTCGCTGTGTGTGTGTGTCACAGTGTGTATGTCACTGTGTGTGTACCGTGGGTGTCTGAGGTCAGGCAGGGCTCTGTGTAGTCCCACGTGCTCACTGTGTGTGTCACTGTGTGTCACTGTGTGTCACTGTGTGTGTGTCACTGTGTACCGTGGGTGTCTGAGGTCAGGCAGGGCTCTGTGTAGTCCCACGTGCTCGCTGTGTGTGTCACTGTGTGTCACTGTGTGTCTCACTGTGTGTGTCACTGTGTGTGTGTCACTGTGTGTGTCACTGTGTGTGTGTTACTGTGTGTGTGTCACTGTGTGTGTGTTACTGTGTGTGTGTCACTGTGTGTGTACCGTGGGTGTCTGAGGTCAGGCAGGGCTCTGTGTAGTCCCACGTGCTCGCTGTGTGTGTCACTGTGTGTGTGTCACTGTGTGTATGTCACTGTGTACCGTGGGTGTCTGAGGTCAGGCAGGGCTCTGTGTAGTCCCACGTGCTCGCTGTGTGTGTCACTGTGTGTGTGTCACTGTGTGTATGTCACTGTGTACCGTGGGTGTCTGAGGTCAGGCAGGGCTCTGTGTAGTCCCACGTGCTCGCTGTGTGTGTCACTGTGTGTCACTGTGTGTGTGTGTCACTGTGTGTGTGTGTGTCACAGTGTGTATGTCACTGTGTGTGTACCGTGGGTGTCTGAGGTCAGGCAGGGCTCTGTGTAGTCCCACGTGCTCGCTGTGTGTGTCACTGTGTGTCACTGTGTGTGTCACTGTGTGTCACTGTGTGTGTGTGTGTGTCACTGTGTACCGTGGGTGTCTGAGGTCAGGCAGGGCTCTGTGTAGTCCCACGTGCTCGCTGTGTGTGTCACTGTGTGTGTGTCACTGTGTGTATGTCACTGTGTACCGTGGGTGTCTGAGGTCAGGCAGGGCTCTGTGTAGTCCCACGTGCTCGCTGTGTGTGTGTGTGTCACTGTGTGTATGTCACTGTGTGTGTACCGTGGGTGTCTGAGGTCAGGCAGGGCTCTGTGTAGTCCCACGTGCTCGCTGTGTGTGTCACTGTGTGTCACTGTGTGTCACTGTGTGTCACTGTGTGTGTACCGTGGGTGTCTGAGGTCAGGCAGGGCTCTGTGTAGTCCCACGTGCTCGCTGGCTCGCGAGTTGAAGCCGTGCCTCGCGTAGGCGGCGCCACGCAGCTCGCGGTCGCGACGCGACATCGGCACGGGACGACCGTGCTCGCCGGGGCCTGGGGGGGGGGGGGGCAAGGGGGGTGGTTACCATGGTGACGGGGGTGGGGGTGGTTACCATGGTGACGGGGGTGGGCGTGGTGACCATGGTGACGGGGGGGACCATGATTATGGGGGTGTTGACCATGGTGACGGGGGTAGGGGTGGTTACCATGGTGACGGGGGTGGGCGTGGTGACCATGGTGATGGGGGTGGTGACCATGGTGATGGGGGTGGTGACCATGGTGATGGTGACGGGGGTGGTGACCATGGTGGCGGGGGTGGTGACCATGGTGATGGTGACGGGGGTGGTGACCATGGTGATGGTGACGGGGGTGGTGACCATGGTGGCGGGGGTGGTGACCATGGTGATGGTGACGGGGGTGGTGACCATGGTGATGGTGACGGGGGTGGTGACCATGGTGGCGGGGGTGGTGACCATGGTGATGGTGACGGGGGTGGTGACCATGGTGATGGTGACGGGGGTGGTGACTATGGTGATGGGGGTGGGGGTGTTGACCATGGTGATGGAGGTGGTGACCATGGTGATGGGGGTGGTTACCATGGTGACGGGGGTGGGGGTGGTGACCATGGTGTTGGGGGTGGTGACCATGGTGATGGGGGTAGGGGTGGTGACCATGGTGATGGGGGTGGTGACCATGGTGATGGGGGTAGGGGTGGTGACCATGGTGATGGGGGTGGTGACCATGGTGATGGGAGTAGGGGTAGTGACGATGGTGACGGGGGTGGTGACCATGGTGATGGTGACGGGGGGGGGACCATGGTGATGGAGGTGGTGACCATGGTGATGATGGGAGTGGTGACCATGGTGATGGGGGTGGTGACCATGGTGATGGGGGTGGTGACCATGGTGATGGGGGTGGTGACCATGGTGATGGGGGTGGTGACCATGGTGATGGGGGTGGGGGTGGTGACCATGGTGATGGGGGTGGTGACCATGGTGATGGGGGTGGTGACCATGGTGATGGGGGTGGTGACCATGGTGATGGGGGTGGTGACCATGGTGATGGGGGTGGTGACCATGGTGATGGGAGTGGGGGTGGTGACCCTGGTGATGGGAGGGTGACTATTGTGATGGGGTCGGGGTTAACCATAATAATGAAACTGTCGTTGTGTTGATTGAGGTGAGTGAGTGTGGTGAATGAGTGTGATGAGTGTGGTGAGTGAGTGTGGTGACTGAGTGTGGTGAGTGTGGTGAGTGAGTGTGGTGAGTGTGGTGACTGAGTGTTGTGAGTGAGTGTGGTGAGTGTGATGAGTGAGTGTGGTGAGTGTGGTGAGTGTGGTGAGTGAGTGTGGTGAGTGTAGTGAGTGAGTGTGGTGACTGAGTGTGGTGAGTGTGGTGAGTGAGTGTGGTGAGTGAGTGTGGTGAGTGAGTGTGGTGAGTGTGGTGAGTGAGTGTGGTGAGTGTTGTGAGTGAGTGTGGTGAGTGAGTGTGGTGAGTGAGTGTGGTGAGTGTGATGAGTGAGTGTGGTGAGTGTAGTGAGTGTGGTGAGTGAGTGTGGTGAGTGAGTGTGGTGAGTGTGGTGACTGAGTGTAGTGAGTGAGTGTGGTGAGTGAGTGTGGTGAGTGTGGTGAGTGAGTGTGGTGAGTGTGGTGAGTGAGTGTGGTGAGTGAGTCTGGAAGTTGTCCACCTTCTCGAGTAGCCTCTAGCCTGGTGAAGCTGTAATTTTGGTAGTCCACCAACTCAACAGGATCCACGGCCCGGTTCTGTCTCAACACCTGCAGGTGAGTCAGTGTGGGTGAGTCAGTACAGGTGAGTAAGTACAGGTGAGTCAGTACAGGTGGGTCAGTACAGGTGAGTCAGTGTGGGTGAGTCAGTACAGGTGAGTCATTACAGGTGAGTCAGCACAGGTGAGTCAGTACAGGTGAGTCAGTACAGGTGAGTCAGTACAGGTGAGTCAGCACAGGAGAGTCAGAACAGGTGAGTCAGTACAGGTGAGTCAGTACAGGTGAGTCAGCACAGGTGAGTCAGTACAGGTGAGTCAGTACAGGTGAGTCAGTGTGGGTGAGTCAGTACAGGTGAGTCAGTACAGGTGAGTCAGTACAGGTGAGTCAGTGCAGGTGAATCAGTACAGGTGAGTCAGTGTGGGTGAGTCAGTACAGGTGAGTCAGTACAGGTGAGTCAGTACAGGTGAGTCAGTACAGGTGAGTCAGTGTGGGTGAGTCAGTGTAGGTGAGTCAGTACAGGTGAGTCAGTGCAGGTGAGTCAGTGTGGGTGAGTCAGTACAGGTGAGTCAGTGTGGGTGAGTCAGTACAGGTGAGTCAGTACAGGTGAGTCAGCACAGGTGAGTCAGCGCAGGTGAGTCAGTACAGGTGAGTCAGTACAGGTGAGTCAGCGCAGGTAAGTCAGTACAGGTGAGTCAGTACAGGTGAGTCAGCACAGGTGAGTCAGCACAGGTGAGTCTGCACAGGTGAGTCAGTAGAGGTGAGTCAGTGTGGGTGATTCAGTACAGGTGAGTCAGTACAGGTGAGTCAGCAAAGGTGAGTCAGCGCAGGTGAGTCAGTGCTGGTGAGTCAGTACAGGTGAGTCAGTACAGGTGAGTCAGTACAGGTGAGTCAGTGTGGGTGAGTCAATACAGGTGAGTCAGTACTGGAGAGTCAGTACAGGTGAGTCAGTACAGGTGAGTCAGTACAGGTGAGTCAGTACAGGTGAGTCAGTGCAGGTGAATCAGTACAGGTGAGTCAGTGTGGGTGAGTCAGTACAGGTGAGTCAGTGCAGGTGAGTCAGTACAGGTGAGTCAATACAGGTGAGTCAGCACAGGTGAGTGAGTACAGGTGAGTCGGAACAGGTGACTCAGTACAGGTGAGTCAGTGCAGGTGAGTCAGAACAGGTGAGTCAGTGCAGGTGAGTCAGTAGAGGTGAGTCAGTACAGATGCGTCAGTGCAGGTGAGTAGTACAAGTGAGTCAGTATAGGTGAGTCAGTACAGGTGAATCAGTGCAGGTGAGTCAGTGTGGGTGAGTCAGCACAGGTGAGTCAGTACAGCTGAGTCAGGACAGGTGAGTCAGTGTGGGTGAGTCAGTACAGGTGAGTCAGCGCAGGTGAATAAGTACAGGTTAGTCAGTACACGTGAGTCAGTACAGGTGAGTAAGTGTAGGTGAGTCAGCATAGGTGAGTCAATACAGGTGAGTCAGTACAGGTGAGTCAGTACAGTTGAGTCAGTGCGGGTGAGTCAGTACAGGTGAGTCAGTACAGGTGAATGAGTGCAGGTGAGTCAGTACAGGTGAGTCAGTACAGGTGAGTCAGTACAGGTGAGTCAGTGCAGGTGAGTCAGTACAGGTGAGTCAGTACAGGTGAGTCAGTACAGGTGAGTCGGAACAGGTGAATCAGTACAGGTGAGTCAGTACAGGTGTGTCAGCACAGGTGAGTCAGTGCAGGTGAGTCAGTGCAGGTGAGTCAGTACAGGTGAGTCAGTATAGGTGAGTCAGTACAGGTGAATCAGTGCAGGTGAGTCAGTGCAGGTTAGTCAGTGCAGGTGAGTCAGTACAGGTGAGTCAGTGCAGGTGAGTCAGTGCAGGTGAGTCAGTACAGGTGAGTCAGTATAGGTGAGTCAGTACAGGTGAATCAGTGCAGGTGAGTCAGTGCAGGTTAGTCAGTGCAGGTGAGTCAGTGCAGGTGAGTCAGTGCAGGTGAGTCAGTACAGGTGAGTCAGTACAGGTGAGTCAGTACAGTTGAGTCAATACAGGTGAGTCAGTACACGTGAGTCAGTACAGGTGAGTCAGTGCAGGTGAGTCAGAACAGGTGAGTCAGTGTGGGTGAGTCAGCACAGGTGAGTCAGTACAGGTGAGTCAGTGCAGGTGAGTCAGTGTGGGTGAGTCAGTGCAGGTGAGTCAGTACAGGTGAGTCAGTGCAGGTGAGTCAGTACAGGTGAGTCAGCACAGGTGAGTCAGTACAGGTGAGTCAGTGTGGGTGAGTCAGTGCAGGTGAGTCAGTGTGGGTGAGTCAGCACAGGTGAGTCAGAACATCTGAGTCAGTACAGGTGAGTCAGTGTGGGTGAGTCAGTACAGGTGAGTCAGTGCAGGTGAGTCAGTACAGGTGAGTCAATACAGGTGAGTCAGCACAGGTGAGTGAGTACAGGTGAGTCGGAACAGGTGACTCAGTACAGGTGAGTCAGTGCAGGTGAGTCAGAACAGGTGAGTCAGTGCAGGTGAGTCAGTAGAGGTGAGTCAGTACAGATGCGTCAGTGCAGGTGAGTAGTACAAGTGAGTCAGTATAGGTGAGTCAGTACAGGTGAATCAGTTCAGGTGAGTAAGTACAGGTGAGTCAGTACAGGTTAATCGGTGCAGGTGAGTCAGTGTGGGTGAGTCAGCACAGGTGAGTCAGTACAGCTGAGTCAGGACAGGTGAGTCAGTGTGGGTGAGTCAGTACAGGTGAGTCAGCGCAGGTGAATAAGTACAGGTTAGTCAGTACACGTGAGTCAGTACAGGTGAGTAAGTGTAGGTGAGTCAGCATAGGTGAGTCAATACAGGTGAGTCAGTACAGGTGAGTCAGTACAGTTGAGTCAGTGCGGGTGAGTCAGTACAGGTGAGTCAGTATAGGTGATTCAGTACAGGTGAGTCGGAACAGGTGAATCAGTACAGGTGAGTCAGTACAGGTGAGTCAGCACAGGTGAGTCAGTGCAGGTGAGTCAGTGCAGGTTAGTCAGTACAGGTGAATCAGTGCAGGTGAGTCAGTGCAGGTTAGTCAGTGCAGGTGAGTCAGTACAGGTGAGTCAGTGCAGGTGAGTCAGTGCAGGTGAGTCAGTACAGGTGAGTCAGTATAGGTGAGTCAGTACAGGTGAATCAGTGCAGGTGAGTCAGTGCAGGTTAGTCAGTGCAGGTGAGTCAGTGCAGGTGAGTCAGTGCAGGTGAGTCAGTGCAGGTGAGTCAGTACAGCTGAGTCAGTACAGGTGAGTCAGTACAGGTGAGTCAATACAGGTGAGTCAGTACAGTTGAGTCAATACAGGTGAGTCAGTACACGTGAGTCAGTACAGGTGAGTCAGTGCAGGTGAGTCAGAACAGGTGAGTCAGTGTGGGTGAGTCAGTACAGGTGAGTCAGTGTGGGTGAGTCAGCACAGGTGAGTCAGTACAGGTGAGTCAGTGCAGGTGAGTCAGTGTGGGTGAGTCAGTGCAGGTGAGTCAGTACAGGTGAGTCAGTGCAGGTGAGTCAGTACAGGTGAGTCAGCACAGGTGAGTCAGTACAGGTGAGTCAGTGTGGGTGAGTCAGTGCAGGTGAGTCAGTGTGGGTGAGTCAGCACAGGTGAGTCAGAACATCTGAGTCAGTACAGGTGAGTCAGTGTGGATGAGTCAGTACAGGTGAGTAAGCACAGCTGAGTCAGCACAGGTGAGTCAGTACAGGTGAGTCAGTGTGGGTGAGTAAGTACAGGTGAGTCAGTACAGGTGAGTCAGTACAGGTGAGTCAGTACAGGTGAGTAAATACAGGTGAGTCAGCACAGGTGAGTCAGTACAGGTGAGTCAGTACAGGTGAGTCAGTACAGGTGAGTCAGTGTGGGTGAGTCAGTACAGGTGAGTCAGTACAGGTGAGTCAGTGCAGGTGAGTCAGCACAGGTGAGTCAGTACAGGTGAGTCAGTACAGGTGAGTCAGCACAGGTGAGTCAGTACAGGTGAATCAGTACAGGTGAGTCAGTACAGGTGAGTCAGTACAGGTGAGTCAGTACAGATGAGTCAACACACCACTGCCACCACCACCACCATCACTACCACCACTACCACCACCACTACCACCACCACCACTACCACCACCACCACTACCACCACTACCACCACCACCACTACCACCACCACCATCACTACCACCACTACCACCACCACCACTACCACCACCACCACTACCACCACTACCACCACCACCACTACCACCACTACCACCACCATCACCACCACCACTACCACCACTACCACCACCACCACTACCACCACCACTACCACCACCACCAGCTGTGACCCCCGCTGTGCCAACTCGCTGTGCTTTATCCGCCCGGCGCTCCGCTCGTTGTTGTGAGCGTCGCTCCTCTGTTGTTGCTGGAGGGCGACTGCCTCCAGCTGCCCCAGTAGCCTCAAGGTGCACCTAGCCTGGCACTGACCCCAGTTACCTCAAGGTGCACCTAGCCTGGCACTGACCCCCAGTAGCCTCAAGGTGCACCTAGCCTGGCACTGCCCCCCAGTAGCCTCGAGGTGCACCTAGCCTGGCACTGACCCCCAGCCTCCATCGCCGTCGACGTCACCACCGGCCCCCACCTGCGGGTGACGAGCCCCCGGCTTTGTGACGTCGCCGCTCTGGTCGACCAATCGCGAGAGCACGAGGCAGGCGGCCAGGGCCAGGCAGCCAATGAGGAGGAGCGCTCGCCGGGAGGGCGTGGCCCGGGTTGCCATGGTTGCGTCAAGCTGTAGAGAGAGAGAGAGTAGAGAGTAGAGAGTCATAATCTTTTTACTGTGTAGTAAGCTGCCTGGTTACTACACTAGCAGCAGCAGCCAATAGGGGATCGGTCTGTCCGTCACGTGGGGAGGGGCTGGGTGGGGAGGGTGGGGAGGGTGGGGAGGGTGGGGAGGGGCTTGGTGGGGAGGGCGTGGCCCGGGTTGCCATGGTTGCGTCCAGGTGTGGAGAGAGAGAGTAGAGAGTAGAGAGTCAGAGACTTAGGAATAGGTTTTACCCTTTTAACTGGCACAAAAACTGACACCTTTATTCAAGGCATCATGTTTGCAATAACCACAACACAAGCAGTCAAAATGCAAACAAAAAAGACAACTCTGATAATAATATGCACTGTCCTTGAATTTGATTGGTCCACACCCGAGACAGCTTTGCTTAGAGCCTAGTCTCCATTGGTGTTGGACCAGAAGACGCCAAAAGGCGTACAACTCAAAAACAGCGCACTATCAGAGCATTGAGGGCTCGGGGTGAGCATTTACATTATGAGACCTCCTTTGCCAGAAACAAGATATAGGAATAGGTTTTACCCTTTTAACTGGCACACAAAAACTGACACCTTTATACAAGGCATCATGTTTGCAATAACCACAACACAAGCAGTCAAAATGCAAACAAAAAAGACAACTCTGATAATAATATGCAGAGACTTGTTACTGTGTAGGAACCTACCTGGTTACTACACCAGCAGCCAACAGGGGATTTGTGTGTCCGTCACGTGGGAAGGGGCTTGGTGGGGTGGGTGGGGAGGGGCTGGGTGGGGAGGGTGAGGAGGGTGGGGAGGGAGGGGAGGGGCTGTGTGTAGGGGCTGGTCACCCCGTGGTGCCCCCCTTTATAAAACTCAACGTTTCACCAACTCACGCCAGGCTTGTGCCCGCCCTCACAGTCGGGCACATTGTGCTGAACGCACCACGTGGTGGTGGTGCCGTTGTTGTTGTAGACCCTGGCCATTGACCCAGAACCCGACGTTCCTACCAGCTCCCTCCGCAGGAGAATTTGTTGACTTTTCAAGCAACTTTTATTGCCGCCAGCAGCAACAACGTTGGAAGCGATTCCGATACGAAACACAAAGTCGCCAGCAACACAAACAACACACACAGTCACCAGCAACACAAATAACAACACACAAAGTCACCAGCAACACAAACAACAACACACAAAGTCACCAGCAACACAAACAACGCACAAAGTCACCAGCAACACAAACAACACGCAAAGTCACCAGCAACACAAACAACAACACACAAAGTCACCAGCAACACAAACAACACACAAAGTCACCAGCAACACAAATAATAACAAAGTCGCCAGCAACACAAACAACAACACAAAGTCACCAGCAACACAAACAACACACAAAGTCACCAGCAACACAAACAACACACAAAGTCACCAGCAACACAAACAACAACACACAAAGTCACCAGCAACACAAACAGCACACAAAGTCACCAGCAACACAAACAACAACACACAAAGTCACCAGCAACACAAATAACAACACACAAAGTCACCAGCAACACAAATAACAACACACAAAGTCACCAGCAACACAAACAACACACAAAGTCACCAGCAACACAAACAACACACAAAGTCGCCAGCAACACAAACAACACACAGTCACCAGCAACACAAACAACACACAAAGTCACCAGCAACACAAACAACACACAAAGTCACCAGCAACACAAACAACACACAAAGTAGACAGCAACACAAACAACACACAAAGTCACCAGCAACACAAACAACAACACACAAAGTCACCAGCAACACAAACAACACACAAAGTCACCAGCAACACAAATAACAAAGTCGCCAGCAACACAAACAACACGCAAAGTTACCAGCAACACAGACAACAACACAAAAAGTCGCCAGCAACACAACACACAAAGTCACCAGCAACACAAACAACAACACACAAAGTCACCAGCAACACAAATAACACGCAAAGTCACTCATCACACAGAGTCCCACAGAATCACCACACAGAGACCCATAGACTCACTCACACAGAGACCCATAGACTCACACAGAGACCCATAGACTCACCACACAGAGACCCATAGACTCACACAGAGACCCATAGACTCACACTGAGACCCATAGACTCACACAGAGACCCATAGACTCACACAGAGACCCATAGACTCACCACACAGAGACCCATAGACTCACCACACAGAGACCCATAGACTCACCACACAGAGACCCATAGACTCACACATACACCCATGGACTCACACAGAGACCCATAGACTCAAATAGAGACCCATAGACTCATCATACAGATACCCATAGACTCACACAGAGACTCATGGACTCAAATAGAGACCAAACGGTCTGTATTTGATCATTTTTATTCTAATGATCATAATCAATTCTAATGATTACAATAATCACCAGTGATGGTGGCCGTAGTGCTAACCACTGCACCACCGCTCCCCACATACAAAGACCCAAAGACAAAGATTCCCGTGTAGCCTCTAACAGGCTGTAGGGGCAAGTGCTGTTAGGAGCGAGTAGCAGCAGCAGCGTCTATGAAGGTAGAGACAGACAAAGGTCCCCCGTGTAGCCTCTAGCAGGCTGTAGGGGCAAGTGCTGTTAGTAGTAGCGAGTAGTAGCAGCAGTGTCTATGAAGGTAGACACAGACAAAGGTCCCCCGTGTAGCCTCTAGCAGGCTGAAGGGGCAAGTGCTGTCAGTAGCAAGTAGCAGCAGCAGCAGCACCTATGAAGGTAGACACAGACAAAGGTCCCCCGTGTAGCCTCTAGCAGGCTGTAGGGGCAAGTGCTGTTAGTAGCGAGTAGCAGCAGCAGCGTCTATGAAGGTAGACACAGACAAAGGTCCCCCGTGTAGCCTCTAACAGGCTGTAGGGGCAAGTGCTGTTAGTATAGCAGCGCTACCTATGAAGGCTACCGGCACTGTGGCACACACAGAGGGGGTGAGTGGCCAGCACCACCACGCCCGGCCGCCTTTGTCTCTCCCCCAGTGGCGATGTTTACTACACACGGCACCAGGTACTCATTTGAGGCTGAATCGACCTAGGGGAGGCCCACGACCGGTTCAGATAATCGTCAACGGTGGTGTTGGCCGTGAGCGGGAATCGAACTCGGGACGCCGGGTTCATAGCGCTAACCACTACACCCACCACTCCCCGCAACACGCTGACACACACACACAGACACACACTCCAATCCATCACACACGCACACACTACCACCATCGCTAACAAAGCCACCACCACCAACAACAACAACCGCCATTCGCAACTAAGTGGCGGTAACGTCATCAAGACGCTTGTGCCAGGCTAGGTGTACTTTGAGGCCACTTCAAATTGTCGAACGCCCGCTGGTAGGAGGTCACGGGACAGACCCAGCAGGTGCCACGGGTCGACTGACTGAGATGATTGAGATGACTGGCTGATGCACCACCTGTGCCCCCTCCTGTGCCAACTCTGTGCGTTTTATCCGCCCGGCGCTCCGCTCGTTGTTGTGAGAGTCTCTCCTCCGCCCTCCGTTGTTGTTGCTGAAAGGCGACTGCCTTCAGCTACCCAGTAGCCTCGAAGTACACCTAGCCTGCCACTGACCCCCAGTAGCCTCGAGGTGCACCTAGCCTGGCACTGGCCCCAGTAGCCTCGAGGTGCACCTAGCCTGGCACTGCCCAGTAGCAGCAGCAGCGTCCTTCACGAGCCTCCTCCTCCACAGAGGCCGATCTTGACACCGCTGGTACCAGTCATCGGCAAGTCCACTCAGCTCCACGTCCTCCTGTACCACATCACTCCATCTCTTCTCTAGCCCGTGCCGCGCCCGTTTAGCCCCTTCTATGCGGTCAAACAAAAGCTGCTTGGGCATGCGGTGGCTGGGCATGCGGGCTACATGACCCAGCCAACGCAGCCTTGCCTGCCGGAGGAGCTCACTGATGGGACTTTGTCCAGACCTTTCAAGGATTTGTGGGCTCCTCACACAATCCAGCCTGGTTAAAACTCACGCAGAGACCCATAGACTCACAAAGAGACCCACAGATCCATATCGTCACATACAGCCCCAAATAATCGTACAGAGAGCCACAGGCTGATACGGGGACCCATAAGTAGTATCACACAGAGACCCATAGACTCATGTGGATACCCACAGACTCATGTACAGACCCATATATTTGCACAGAGACTCATAGACTCACCCAGAGACCCATAAGCTAACACAGAGACCCAAATACCCATAGAATCACACAGAGAACCGCAGACTCACACATACACCTCGACTCACAAAGAGACCCACAGACTCACACGGAGATCTAGAGACTCACGCAGAGACCCACAGACTCACACGGAGACCCACAGACTCACACGGAGACCCACAGACTCACATGGAAATCTACAGACTCACATACACCTATAGATTCATGCAGAGACCCACAGACTCACACGCAGACCCACAGACGCACGCAGAGATCCACAAACTCACGCATAGACGCACACACTCACACAGAGACCCACAAACTCACACGGAGACTCACAGACTCACACAGAGCCCACAGACTCACTCACACAGAGACCCACAGACTCACTCGGAGACCCACAGACTCACGCAGAGACCCACAGACTCACACAGAGACCCACACACTCACACAGAGACGCACAGACACACGCAGACACCCACAGACTCACGGAGAGACCCACAGACTCACACACAGACCCACAGACTCACACAGAGACCCACAGCCCCACACAGAAGCCCACAGACTCACACAGAGACCCACAGACTCACACAGAGACCCACACACTCACACAGAGACCCACAGACACACGCAGACACCCACAGACTCACGGAGAGCCCCACAGACTCACACACAGACCCACAGACTCACACAGAGACCCACAGCCCCACACAGAAGCCCACAGACTCACACAGAGACCCACAGACTCACACAGAGACCGACACACTCACACAG